GATCACAGGCATAACTGAACCCCAAGCCAGAAGACAAGGGGGCCCATTGATGCAGTCCATTAAGGTCATCCTCCTAGCCTCCTGTGCTCCTCTGGGACACAGAGCAGAATGGAAAACAGTAGAGAAGGGATCTGGAGGGGAAAACAAATGTATTTGGCAAAATATCCTCATCTGCAAAACAGAAATAAGTATTACTGTTGTGGAGTGAAGTGAAATAATCAACATAAAGCATTTAGCACAATGCCTGGCACAGTAGGGAAAAAAAACAACTTTTATATGCCTGGCATCATATTTCCAAAGGTGGATTTTTATGGAGTGATGTTTTCCAAACTTCAGATCATGGCCAATTAGTGGGCTGTGAACTTAATGGGTTTCCCAGCATTTTTTTTAAGAAGTAGAAAAGACCAGCACGCATCTCATGACGCAAGTGCAAGTATTGTCTCAAAAACATTAATTTCCTTTAAATTCACATTAAATTCAATGCATGTGTGTGTGTGTGTGTGTGTGTGCGTGTGTACGTGCACACACGCATTTAACTGTGTATTTGTTTCCTAGGGTCAGAAGGTAAAATATATTGGGTTGGCCAAAAAGTTCCTTCAGTTTTTAAGTAAAAATAAAAGACACATTTTTCATTTTCACCAAGAACTTTATTGAACAACGTATTCACCCTTTTGTTCCACTACTTCTGCCATTTTTCAGGCAACTTCATAATTTCATCTTCCCAAAACTTTTTATCTTTTTGAGCAAAGGACTGTTCCAGGTGCCTTTTACAGTCTTTCAGGGAATTGAAATTTTTTCCATTAGGAGAATTTTGTAAAGACCGAAATAAATGGAAATCCGAAGGTGCAATGTCTGGTGAATACGGTGGATGAATCAGAACTTCCCAGCCAAGCTGTAACAGTTTTTGCCTGGTCATCAAAGAAACATGTGGTTTTGAGTTATCCTGATGGAAGATTATGCGTTTTCTGTTGACTAATTCTGGACGCTTTTCATCGAGTGTTGCTTTCCATTGGTCTACTTGGAGCAGTACTTGTTGGAATTAATCATTTGGTTTTCCAGAAGGAGCTCATAATAGAGGACTCCCTTCCAATCCCACCATATACACATCACCTTCTTTGGTTGAAGACTGACTGGCCTTTGGTGTGGTTGGTGGTGGTTCATTTAGCTTGCCCCACAATCTCTTCTGTTCCACGCTATTGTACAGTATCCACTTTTCATCACCCATCACAATTTATTTTAAAAACGGAACATTTTCTTTATGTTTAAGTAGAGAATCGCATGTGGAAATACAGTCAAGAAGGTCTCCCCCCTCCACCCCGGCTTAACTTATGTGGAACCCAAACATCAAAGCAATTAACATAACCAAGCTGGTGTAAATGATTTTCAACTCTTGATTTGGATATTTTGAGTATGTTGGCTATCTCCCCCATGGTATAACATTGATTGCTCTCAATTAATGTTTCGATTTGATCGCTATCAACTTCAGCTGGTCTACCCGAATGTGGAGCATTGTCCAGCGAGAAATCTCCAGCACAAAATGTCGCAAACCACTTTTGACACATTCCATCAGTCATAGCACCTTCTCCATACACTGCACAAATCCTTCTTTGTGTTTCAGTTGTTTTTACCTTTCTTGAAATAATAAAGCATAATATGCCAAAAATGTTGCTTTTTTCTTCCATCTTCAATATTAAAATGGCTACACAAAAATTCACCGATTTTGGGCTTCACTGGTGGCGCAGTGGTTGAGAGTCTGCCTGCCGATGCAGGGAACACGGGTTCGTGCCCCAGTCCGGGAAGATCCCACATGCCGTGGAGCGGCTGGGCCCATGGGCCATGGCCGCTGAGCCTGCGGGTCTGGAGCCTGTGCTCGGCAACGGGAGAGGCCACAAGAGTGAGAGGCCTGCGTACCGCAAAAAAAAAAAAAAAAAAAAGAAAAATTCACCAATTTTGATAAGTTTTTTTTTACAATGCACGCTGATATGACAGCTGTCACAATACAATCTAAAAAAAATTGTTTGAAATGAAGCTAAAGACAACTAAGCAGGGCCTCCCTGGTAGAGCAGTGGTTAAGAATCCGTCTGCCAAAGCAGCGGACACGGGTTCGAGCCCTGGTCCAGGAAGATCCCGCATGCCACGGAGCAACTAAGCCTGTGCACTACAACTATTGAGCCTGTGCTCTAGAGCCTGCGAGCCACAACTGCTAAGCCTGCGTGCCACAACTACTGAAGCCTGAGCACCTAGAGCCCATGCTCCACAACAAGAGAAGCCACGGCAAGGAGAAGCCCACACACCACAATGAGGAGTAGCCCCCACTCGCCACAACTAGAGAAAGCTCAAGCGCAGCAACAAAACAAAAATAAATAAATAAAAAAAATTTTTAAAAAGAAAGACAACTAAGCACTACTAGAGCCATTTTACAGGAAAAAAATGAACGAAACTTTTGGCCAACCCAATATTTCTTACTAAGAATTATGGTCAGAAAGTGTTTGAAAGCCACAATTCAAGAGTACTTCTAGATACTTCCTCTCATCTCTCACTTATTCCTCCCCAAGAAGTGATTTGCCTGGTTGACAAATGTGGGAGGAGAAATTGAGCATACGTGCTTGAGTCTTTTCTCATTCTCTTGTCCCTGCTAGTCGCCTCTTCTGTCTTCTCTTATTCTCTATGGTAGACGAAATAATAGCCCCCAAAGATACCAAGTCCTAAAACCTGGAACCCATGAATATTACCTTATATGACAAAGTCTTTGCAGCTATGATTAAGTTAAGGATCTTGAAATGGGGATATTATCCTGGATTATAGGGGTGGGCCCTAAATGCAATTATATGTATCCTTTAAGAGGGAGGCAGTGGAGATTCTACACACAGAGGAGAAAGGCAACGTGAAAACAGAGTAGAAAGGGATTTCAAGACACTGGCCCTCCTTGAAGATTGAAGTTTTGCTGTCACAAGTCAAGGTATGCTAGCAGACACCATAAGCTAGAAGAAACAAGGAGTGATTACTTATCCATTCATCAGTAAGTAGACATTTTTTTTTAAGATTTTAATTTTTTACTTATTTTTGGCTGCATTGGGTCTTCGTTGCTGCGCGCGGGCTTTTTCTAGTTGTGGCGAGTGGGGGCTACTCTTCGTTGGGGTGCATGGGCTTTTTCTTGCAGTGGCTTCTCCTTGCAGTGGCTTCTCTTGTGGAGCACAGGCTCTAGGTGTGCGTGCTTCAGTAGTTGTGACGCACGGGCTTAGTTGCTCTGAGGCATGTGGGATCTTCCCGGGCCAGGGATCAAACCCGTGTCCCCTGCATTGGCAGGTGGATTCTTATCCACTGTGCCACCAGGGAAGTCGCAATTAATAGATATTTTTTAAAATTGCTTTTAAGTGTTCTTTCCATGCCCTTAGTTGGTAGGGAAGGGATTACTAGGCTTGCCACCATGAGTGAAGTGTCATGAGACTTGGGAAGGCCTTTGCACACCAATATGCACTCTGACTTCCCTCATAATAATAACAGCTACACTGAGTGATAATTATGTATAGAACACACAATGTACATCTCTATCCTTACAAAAATTTAGCAAGGTAGCCAGCATTACCCTTCTTTTACAAATGAGAAAACTCAGAGTCAGGAATAGTTATTCCTTTGGGACAAATTTGTCCAAACTCACACAACTAGTAAGTGACAGAGACAGGTTGTGCATCTAGCTTGATTTGCTTCCAAAAACAGAGCCATCTCCACTTGAAGTGTCTCCCTGTGTTGTCCACCACTGGTTTCCTGAAGCTAGGTTTGTGTTCCTCAAGCAAGCTGCATATCATAGTTTGTATATATCAAAACTATACATAACAGGAAGTTTTGAACATAGCAGTCTAGTTTTTTCTGGCCATTTTGGTCCCAAGGTCTTATGTTCCACTTGATTATTTCTTTTGTAGTTGTTGGGTTAAAAACTAGATAAAAGGGGGCAAAAGAGGAAGATGTACACTTAACACTAGGGTCTTAGTGCTGGATCGTTTGTTGACAATAAATTTCATTACAAAAATCTCATGGCTATCTTGGAGATCCAAACGCAGAATCTTTTTATACATGAGGAAAAGAAAGCCAACAAATTCACATATTTGTCTAATAACCAACGACCTCATCAAAGCAGAATTTCATTGCAATGTAAACAGACTCCTAATACTTTGTAAGTTCGAAGTGGGAATTAACTCCAAATTTATTTTGATCATCCAAACATCACATTGTAAAATTCCCATTACTGTCTCCATTATTTTTCTCTTCTCCTTTTATGTAGGGGTATATGAAACTGATACTCTGTAAAGGCAAAACCAAACCCTACTTTTTACTTTGAGAAGGGGAGAAATTTTAAATAGCATTCTTCAGTTGTGGTGATTTTGAGATCCCATGATCAGAGTATTAACTGTCCTTGAAGTAGTAATTCCATTCCACAAAACCAAACCCCAAACATTCACACAAGTTCCTGTCAAGTCACATATTTAAACAAATTATTCTAAATAAATGAATGCTACAGAACCTCCGAAACAATGTGGTTTGCTCCTTTGATTTTCTGGAACATCTTTTTGCTATACTGTGCCGCTACATACTTATTTGGCTTCATGGTGGACTTGTTACAGCATGTTTAAGAATATTCATTACTCTTGGCAGTTATAAACAAAATAAATGCCAAATGGAGATGCTAAGATGCAGACAAAAAAAAAACAACAAAACGTTCAGAGTGTAGCTACACAGTATTTGCTCATGCCCTTCTATATCAATACCTTTCCCCGAAAGAATTTCCAAATACTCTAGGCCCAGGCGCAAAGGACAAAACAAGAAGCCCCACCTTTGAGCCCAGTACGGAGGTGATCCGCCCACCCACCAACCAATCCGAAATCGTGTTCTCCACCTGCCCACGGCTTGAGCGACCTTTTCATTCCCGTCCGCTGTTCCCTTTTACGACAGTTTTCCGGCCTAGTTTACGGCCGCCACTGCCGTATTTCCTGGGGCGCCTGTGTCTGGGCGGTTTGTACATGCTGGTGGTGGCCGCGTCGCTTTGTGGTAGAGGCGTAGAGCTGGTGGGGTGGGATGTACCGCGCTCCCGGTGGAAGCAGAGGAGCCGAGCGGGAACCATGGTGAGTTCCGCCTTCCGGCCTCTTGGGCGATCTCAGGCCCAGGCCTTAACCTCTGCTCAAGGTCTGGGAGGAGAGGAGCCGCAGATGTCTCCCTAATGCGACTCAGAGCTGGGGGTGTAGCGCCCCGGAGAGTCACCCTCTGGGACACAGAGCTGTTGCCTCACCCCTCTCGGGCCTTTGTGCCTGCCGTCCATGGGGCTCGGAGGTTAGTGGAAACGCATTTGATTATACCTGCTGGTCCCCTAACACATCCTCGCAGCCCTTTCTCTACATCGCTCTGTCTTTCCCCTTTTCTCTTGCTGACACACCTCTTCTCGATTCCTGAACATATTTGGCCGAAGGTGCTATGAGAAGCTAGTCTCTTAGTTAAGCCTACGTTTAACGGTGAATCAGAATTTACAGGAATCCTCTGTAAACAGTTTTCCCTTCTCTGGCAGAAACTTTATTTCCGTTGCTCTTGATTGAATTTTAATGTGACTTCACTTGCCCGGAGGTGAAAGAAGTTTTCAAGGGGAGGGGAATTATCTTTTTCACTGTTGTATAAGTAAATAAGCAAATCGACTTGACTTTTTTTTTCTTTAGTGAAAAATTCCATACCTTTTAAATGCATTGGATATAAAATTTGCAGGCTCGTTGGGCAGAATATTTTCATCCTAAAAGTTATTTCTCCTGTTGAAATAAAACTTGTAATAAGTTGGAATGGGAGAATGGGCATGATAGGGAAGGGTGAGAATGAGAGAAATGAATATTTACTCTGCTTCCCTTTACCAGGCCAGTACAGTGGTAGCAGTTGGACTGACCATTGCTGCTGCAGGATTTGCAGGTTTGTTTATGGTTTGGGGGTGGAACTGAAGTAGAGGAGGTTGCGGACTTTTTATTTTATTGCTTTTGTTTTTAGGCCGTTACGCTTTGCAAGCCATGAAGCATATGGAGCCTCAAGTAAAACAAGCTTTTCAAAGTCTACCAAAATCTGTAAGGCTTCTTATTCACCATTTTTGCTAATTCTTTGCTGTCTGTGTATGAAGCCTAGAGCCAGACATCCATGAAGTTCTAAGTGATTGCTTTGGACCCCTTCTCTTGCTTCCCACAAAGGTTTAGAAGTTCTGAGCTTTGTAATGGTGCAACCCTAAAGAATCAAATGTTACATGTGACAGATTTGGGGAAGAGGTGTTAACAGTTTTAGTATCATGAAAGTTAACATCACTTTATTGTTCATACACCATTACCTTCAGCATCATTTGCTCTGCATCACAAACACAGAGGGATCTAGGGGTCTGAAGTGATCCATTTTTACTGTGTGGCTCTGGCACTCCCTAACAGATTACTTGGATAACACTTCAGTTAATTGGGCTCTAGAGTATGACTGAATGTGATGATCATACATTCTGTGGTCAAAATTCAGAATGAATATGATTTTGACAACCTATAGAGTATTGCTTTTATGATTGAATGTGACAGAGTAGTAGAGTAATGGTAGGTTTTACCAGTATAATTTCTGACATACCAAGGTCAGTGGATCTAATAGCCTGATTTTCTCAATATACATATCTTAAAGTCTTGTTTTAGTAGTTGCCTTGAACCTCAAAATGTCCTTGAACCACTTGTCTCAAAAGATCTCTGAATCCTCTAAAGCACTTGTTCTAAAACATGTAGTCATATTCTGAGATTAAATTTTTATCTAGAACATGGCTAGCTTGGAATACTCTTCCCTTCACTCCCAGAAGAACTGGCTTTAAGGCACTGTTATTTTATCTTGTATCTTCAAGACAGTTTAGATGGTCCGGGGGTGGGGGGGGGGAAATGGATGTTTAATGATCATTAAATATTTGTTGCTATTTATAAAGTTAAAATACCATAGGGGGCTTCCCTGGTGGCGCAGTGGTTGAGAGTCCGCCTGCCGAAGCAGGGGACGCGGGTTCGTGCCCTGGTCCGGGAAGATCCCATATGCCGCGGAGCGGCTGGGCCCGTGAGCCATGGCTGCTGAGCCTGCGCGTCCGGAGCCTGTGCTCCACCACGGGAGAGGCCACAGCAGTGAGAGGCCCACGTACAGAAAAAAAAAAAAAACAAAAAAAACCCCATAGGAATTGCACTTAGTTTTCTGAAGTGTCTTAGTTTTTCCGCTGGTTCTATGAACATTTATAGACATTTTTTAGCAGCTTTCAGTTTATTTTGATAATCTTTTCTTTCAGTTTATTTTGATAATCTTTTCTTACAAATGTATTTCCACTTTCAGGCCTTCAGTGGTGGCTATTACAGAGGTGGGTTTGAACCCAAAATGACAAAACGGGAAGCAGCATTAATACTAGGTGTAAGGTAAAATAATTTCTCACATTTTTAATATTTTTCTTCCAAATTTAGAGCTATAAGCAAGTGTAAGAAAGACCTTCTCTCTTTTATTAGGAGAGTTATTCTATTGTGTACATTTTTTAAAAATTTTTATTATTTTTTTGGCTGCACTGTGTGGCGTGCGGGATATTAGGTCCCTGACCAGGGATCTAATCCACACCCCCTGCAGTAGAAGCATGGAGTTTTAACCACTGGACTGCCAGGGACGTTCCATCTATTACATTTTTAAGATCTAAACATTCCCTACAAAAGTCCAATGAGAAGGTCTAATGACGCATGAGTACTTTTTAATTCATTGAAGGTAGATTTTTCAACAGATAATCACAGTGCTCAATATTGTTCTCTATAACGGAGTAACAGATTTTTTTGTGATGAAATTCTGCCTTAATTTCCAAATACTTAAACATACTTTTCGATAAAAGGATTGTTGTAATGAATAGTTAAAAGTTCTAAATTTTTAAGAATGCCTTATTTTTCTAAGGAGCTGTTTAGTTCTGTGATTCAGAATATTAATCTTCCTAGTGTGTTAGAGGTTCCCAAATGGCTTTTCATACTATTGTGTTGACTTACTCCAGTTTCACAATTTTTTTTCAGTTTCACAATTTTTAATCAACCTTTATATAGTTTTTTAATGTGACCCAGATCTACTCTGAAGTATACAATACCTTTTCTTTTTTAAATTAGCCCTACTGCCAATAAGGGAAAAATAAGAGATGCTCATCGACGAATTATGCTTTTAAATCACCCAGACAAGGGTAAGTATCATTAAACTATTGTTAACACATTTTGTTGGAGTAACTGTTATTAGTGGGATAATTTTGTATCTAATTCTTGGCTATTATAAGGGAAATGCCTAGATCTGTTTGTGAGCACTGTCTCCCAGGCTGGATCCATTTGTTTAGGTATCTTAAAAGAGTAAGTTCTGAGTGAAAAATTTATAGACTAATAAGCAGATCTAGTAACTACTATAATTTGGAAGTAGTGATAAGCATTAACTGTGTTTTGAGATCTGCAGTTGTGATGTGACTTACAGTAGTGAGTCTCAAATATTGCTACTACTACTGTTTGGGGTGGGGGGTGTCTACATTCTTACCTAAGGAAAATGTTGAATTTCAGTTAATGAAACTAATAAAACTTTTAACTTTTTTCCTATACATTTAGACCTTTTAACTAGTGGTTACCTAGTTAGAAACATATAGGATGTATTAGTTTCTGATACACTTCTAAGCAGCCTAGGCTGAGTTGAAAGATCAAATGGAATACCAAAATGTAGACCACAAAATCCACGTTCCAGTGTTTAAGTCCTTTTACTTTACAGGAGAAGCCTCTCTTTAAGAAAGAGGGTTTTGAGTTTAAACAGGGTTGTAGTTGTTTGGTATCTGACTGCATAACCTTTTACAAAACTTAGCTTATACTAACTGGAAGGCTCTTGATTCTGTAGGTCCATAAATTTGCATCCTAACTAAGCTTTTTACTGATTGCTGGTGCTTGCTGGTCTGAGGGCCACACTTTTTTGAGAATCACTCAAATCACTGCTGCAGTTTAGTAGGAAAGGAGATGTAGGTGACATCGTGAAGGGACTGTTGGTAACAGGAAAAGGATATAAAGCAAAGTGGGGTCTTCCCAACTAAGCTCAGCACCTCTGAAAATTTCATGGTTTTAAAATAACACAGTACAATAAATTGGTGTTTATGACTTGTGATCGTCATGAAAAGGTAACTTACACTATTTCAAAGTCACATAAGTATGAGAATTTTCTTAAATTTTATTCCTATCAGTTTAAGCTTTTTCAAAAGGTGCCATTTTTTGTGGAAATCTCCCTCCCATTGGTCAAATATATTAACCATGTTTTTGGTCATCCGGTTCCAGTGTCATAGTTATTTTAAAAAGTCAAAATTTCATTTCTGCTCATTTCACCTCTTAGATAAGCATAGGAATTCTTGAAGCAAGAGAATAGCTTTTCACTAAGCAGAAATTGGACAGTCCATATTATAACTATTCCTTTTTTTTCTTCCTGTAGGAGGATCTCCTTATATAGCAGCCAAAATCAATGAAGCTAAAGATTTACTAGAAGGTCAAGCTAAAAAGTGAAGTAAATGTATGATGAATTTTAAGTTCCTATTCATTTATGTATATGAGGACCAGCTTTTTATAATAAAATGCCTCAAAGCTACATATTTTAAAAATTAACATAAGCTAAATGAAAACCTTGGTATAAATTTGAGGATTTAAAATCGGATTATAGAATATTTGTAGGTTAATAATAATTATGGATAAGTGCACGCCATTTGAAGTGTTTGTTACTCATTTGTCAAATAATTTGGTACCTATGTCAAGACAAAGTGAACAAGATAGTCTCTCCCTGAAGGAATCCCCAATCTGATGGGAGATTGATAAACTGTTAATTAAAATACAATGTGAAAATAATTAAAATACAATGTGATAAATATGATGGAATTAGCACAAGTTGTTATAGTAGGGGCTCATCTCATTAAGACAGGTGGCTGTTCAAGGTACAGAGGACTCCCCCAGCCACTTAGAACCTTGAACTTAAAAGTGAATTTAGGGCTTCCCTGGTGGCGCAGTGGTCGAGAGTCCACCTGCCGATGCAGGGAACACGGGTCCGTGCCCCGGTCCAGGAAGATCCCACATGCCGCGGAGTGGCTGGGCCCGTGAGCCATGGCCGGTGAGCCTGCGCGTCCAGAACCTGTGCTTCGCAACGGGAGAGGCCACAACAGTGAGAGGCCCGCGTGCCGCAAAAAAAAAAAAAAGTGAATTTAGCCACAACTTAACCTGAGAAATTGATCTAGGTATGTATTTATCACTTTGTCAGTGATAAATCTGAATTGTTTCAGATTTCATACAGTAAAAACTGTAACAGTATGATAAAGATTTGAGAATACAAGTCCTGTTTTTAATCAAGAAAGTATGTATATTTTATTTAGCTAACCCCTTAAAGAGACTGACCATTTATAAACTACTTTATATTTTTACATAATCGTTTCACATCTGTTAAAACACAATTAGTGAAACTGAAAAGCTCTCAGTTATCAAAATATAATGAAGGACTCGATAATTCATACACTGATATATTTAAATGACATTTCAGGGTAAATAGCTATTGGTCTAACAAAAAATATCTAAGGATAACCAGAGGACCTACCTAAAACATGTGAGGTTAAGACAGCTATTTTGTGGTCAGCCAGAATACTTAATTTTCAGTTCTAAGATGATAAATACTACTACCTACAATCTAAACTTTCTTAAATCATCCTAAAGTTCATAATTGTTAATGGGGAACACAAAGACTTTCAAGGTCAAAATAATGGAGGTGGTCATATTTAGCACTGGAATGTGTTTAGGGACATTTCAAAATGGAGGTGTATCTGCTTTTATTTTCCATCCCATTTCCTCATTCAAAATCTGATCAAGTTCATTTGTCATGATTTAGAGTATGACGAAGCACTTGGCTATTTCCAGGGACAAGGGGGTATGAAGGTACAGCTGATTCATGTTATTCAAAGTAGTTGTGTTGTATAAAGTCACTGAGAATACTAAATTAGTGAATCCTGAACCACTGTTCATAGGGGTTTCCTGTGAGCCTCTGGTCACAATATTTTTGTCAACCAGTAAATATATAACCTTGTTTACAAGTGTTTCTGTTTAAGACATCTTATTTAATATATATTGTTAACATTAAATTCACAGCCAATAACATTATAACTCATGCCAATCCATCACAGCCTTCTTGCATTTAGGAACCTTAGGCAGCAGCACTTCACTATGCTTGGGGGCCATCTTAAACAGTGAAATCACCAATAAAAAGGACAAAAATGCAAAAAACTTGGCATTAAATGGACCATGAAAAGGATGCTTATTTACAGTAGGAAAACTGAAACAAGGCAAAGCATAACTTTGTAGGTACCGGGTGACTCATTTTCACACTTTGCATGTCCACAACCAACCAGGAAATCGCCGTGATTGTTGACTTTGGAGGTATGAACTTGAAAATAAGGAATCTGCTAATAATGAGGATCAACTGTATTTTGGCTTACTAGCCTTTTATTTCAGTCCTTTGGACTAGTCAAAAAAAAATTTTTATGAACAAGAGCTTTAATTAAGGAAAAGAGATATTATCAACTAAAAAGCAAATTTTTCAGACGAATAGAAGATATGCCCAAAGGCAATCAAGCATTAACTTTAAAAAGGAAAACTTCATGTTGAAGGTACACTTCTGAGTGTTTAATGCAAACACAGCATACCTGTTTCTAAGATACCACTTTAAAATAATACTAAGGAGCACAGCAGACCACATTTTTCTTTCATAGTAATGTTTTATTTTCTCTAGGCTTACCTTCTTCAAGTAGAAGAATCCATATTTCACTAAAAGCCGTTAGGCAAACCTACCATTTTTCTTGGGTAAAAAAGTCACCTTTTTTATGAAGGCTCTAGATCATGGTAATTGATGCAAGTATGATGATCTGTAAGAGAGCCTTCATCTTTTAATGGTATTTTCTTACAAAATGCTTGTGTATTAACATTTATTGACTGTTTACAATGTGCTAGCGTTGTGCTAAGCATTTCCCCCTTACCCAGTAGTAGTTACTATTAAAGTACATTTTACAAGTAATGAAATTGAAGTTCAGTGAGGTTAAGATACTTGCCCAAAGCAACATGCTGGCTGAGAAAACTGATCTTTCTCAAACCCGAAGTTCTACGCTGTTAACCTCCACACTGTGGTACCTTTCACAAATCTGATAACCCAGGGATGTTTTCCTTGGTGGTACTGAGATGTGTATCTCGTACTTGTCATTACACTTCTACCTTGGGCCCTTTTTATCCACGGGTCCTTTCAGATATAGACTTCTTTAAAAGGGAGGAAGATAATGGTTGAATATAGGACTAGGAATAGGAGGTACAGGTTTCAAGTGAAACTTCTGCTATAATAGCCAGGCAACTTTGAGCAAGGTATCTATGCACTTAGGGCTCTGCTTCCTCATCTGTTAAGAGGGGGAAAAAAAAAATAACAGCCAACTTAAATTGTGAAGATTTCTCCACTTTATGGATAGGAAATTGAAAAACTAGAAGCAAATGCTTTCTGAAGTTGCACAGCTACTGAAACTATAAGCCCTGAATATCTTCTCCAATTTACTATCTTCATTTAAAATTTGGTTCTCTATATATTAGTCCTTAATACATGCCTATTCACAGCCTTAATGTTTAGAACTGGCATACCAGAGCTTTAGTTTTGTTACTTAGCCTCTTTCCTTTTGCCTTCACTGGGCCTCTAGGTTGACAACAGATGAGTCCTATGCTACTTAATAAACTTTATAAACCTGCTTTGCTGGTGATGAAAGTAGGCTGTAATGGGTGGTCCTGAAGTCGAATCTTTTCCCACCCTTATTTTTAAGCAAATTCTCTTGCCTTCAGCTGTTTTACAAATGATGGGAATACCTATAGAAGCATTTAACAAGTCATACAGACCCAAACCATTCAAGAAATAACTGAGAACATGTATGAAAATGGAACACAAGCCCATTTTCTGATTCTAGAAGCTTGGTTATATAGTTTTCTCTGCTAGCCTTAATTTCCTGTGCTCTAAATCACAACAAACAAGCAAGAAGGGTAAAAGGCAGCTAGATGTAAAATGAGAAGTGGAAGAAACTGGATAACTAGTATCTTAACACAGGGTAAAAACCTAAACATGTTGGACTATGCCACACTAAAAAGCTATGTAGTATTCGGCACACTGAAAATTTATTTTCTACCTTAAAGAAAACCTTGTATCAGAAGTAATTTAAATTAATCCAGGCAGAATGCTTCATTTAAGAGTTAACCAAGCTTAAGTTTAAACACTTCAGGCTAAAATACTGAGTTCTACTGTTTCAATGAGAATTTATAAGGCACCTTTCTGTTGTTAACAACCTATAAAAGTTGTTTTGCATTTCAGAAGTGTGTGATGGGGTCATTATTTTGTTCAGCATAAATGATCCCCCAAATGTTAATTACAATGAAAATTTAGAAGTTGGCTCCAAAACTTAAAAGGCCAGAATATGGTAGAAAGAAATCTATTAAATCTGAGGTAAAGTAAAAAGCACTTACTTAGAATGCTAGGTTTTTGGTTAAAGAACCCTGGACTGAGAGTAACCTTGAGTACCAGGAAACTTAAATGACTTAAGCTCTGCTTTTTGTTGCTGGCACTGCTGTTCAGTGTTGTGTATCTGCTTAGAGCCAACTGTTGCTTTACCAACAGGATATAGAAAGAGCTATCCAGTGTTAACCTGTTATTCCTGACCCAATGACAAGGTTGTAGTCCAGTGTTAGGGTATAATCTGGAACAAGTTAACACTTGCTGTGACCTTAGTGCTGTTTCAGTTAATGGAATTTCAAGTGAAGTATTTACGTATTTTTCTTTACAACCTGAAAACAGCAAGGTGAAAAATGAAGTTCAAAGAGGTTGAGGTATGAGCTCCAGGGAACAATTAAGCATAGATTAATTCATCTAGAAAAACTATGGGAAAATTTCTGTAATGAAAAGTCTCTAACCTAGAAAATGAGTAGCTACATTTGACAATCCATCAAGTAAAAAGGGTATGAAACATTCAGAAAATATCCCTGTGGTTTCACCCTAATTTGAGAAACTGCTAACTAGTATACTTAATAGTGGGACTTTGAAATTGAGAATGTTAGTGAAAAATAATTCTGCCCTTTTCTTTAGATTGTATACAATATAGCTGGAAATGTCTGGGACAGATATAAATAGAAAACAAACACCATTTTAATTCAGCATACTCCTTAAGAGTACATGGTTAAGTATCACACAGGGTCTAACATGATTACACTCAAGTTATATTATATTGGAAAGGCCTTTATGGGATCACCTAGTCTAGGCCTCTCTAGTTGGATGAAACGGAATATAGAAAAAGTTTGTACAACTAAGATAGTAACTCCCAATTCTGTGCTTCAGTACCCTGAAAGAGTAATATAGAAGATACAGATGAATCTGAATCTAAAGTGACCCACTGATAAACCATTTTAAAAAACAAAATTAATATTTTCCTTATATACACCTCCCTCATCCAATAATTAGGGCTTTTCTGGATGATTAGACCCTTGCTTGGATTTCTGGAGTAAATGATTATACCTTAAAACGTATTAGGTTGTCTCTTCTGTGGGTCAAAACTGGTCAGCTCCCAGCAATTTCCTATGGTTCAACATAACTGACGTTTTCAACCAGCAGTTGAGTGCAGTTTCAAATTACCACCACTTGCCAAAAGTTTTACTATAGCAGATTGCAATTATTGCTTTATTGCAACAGTTCCCTGAAATAAAACCCAAATGCTGTCATAGGTTAATCATGGGTTATAAGTGAATATTATCCATTCAAGCATACTAGTAAAAAACTAAAATTTTAAAATAAGGGACCTGCAAATTCACCATATCAGATATCCTTATAAAGGGTACAGGGGATCCAAGTTGTAAATAGCAAAGATAGGGAGACTGAGACTTTACAATGAACACCCTACTTGTTGCCTTTTGGAATTTTGCCAAACCCGTAGATCCAATTCAAGTTCCTTGAAGCCTTAGAAAATCTAAATATAAAAGTAATCTTCCTTTATTCATTTCCAGTAACCGCCAATCATCTGCTACGGCATAAGCTCATTGTAGGCACAGCCTATAAGAATATTAACTAGTTGGTTTCAACCTGAAAAAAGTCAATCTGTTTGCAGAGGACACAAATGGTAGGTACTATTTCCCAATCTACCAGCAACATTCAGTTAACATACCAACTTTGCAGAGACCCTTCTGAGGTTAAACACTAGACTCATAGCAAACAGTAGCTACAAAAATACTTCCAAAGGTGATGGATCCCAGCCACAAAAGAACGGCTGACATGAATCGAGATCCAGGACAAATAGTAAAACACCAGCTTAGTGTTTTCCTGTTCTTTGGTTATTTTGCTTGTCTGTATATACCTGGACTTGCTTTTTAAAGAATATTTATTTAAGCTACTACCTCCCTCAGCCTTGTCCTAAGCAACGTCTCAGTTTTCATGAACTCACTGGTTTGATATGCTGTTACCTCCACATTAAAATAGTTACTTAAAATTAATACTTTTATGTATCCCTATTATAATTTTAACAGTGGTGACTGACCTGTCAACAGAAACCCATACCATTTTGTGAAAGTTTTAGGCCCGTGGAAGGCTTAAAAGAGTGATGCCAAACCCAAGAATCCTAGGCTTCCCAAGGCTTCAGGAAAAGACCATTTTTACCCCCAGGTAATCTCAGCTCTTAATTCATGATTTAGTTCAGATATCATACACGATTTCATATATGTATGCTGAAACAATACTTAAGCTGCACAAAACCTTTGGGGGGGGGCGGGGCTGGGGGGCTGGCAAGTTTTCCCATAGCAACATTCCATGTAACTTGTAGCCAAAAAAGATGCACTCCTCTCAAACTAAGTTTGGAAGGCTACCTCTATCAAGAATAGTTACCTTTGGGGAGTGGGCTTTTCAGTTCTGAATCTGAGCATGTGCTATTAAAAAAATAAATAAAGGCCTATCATGATTCTGCTGTACATATTTCTAAAGGACATTGGGATTAGTCATTTGTAAATAATGAAATCTTAATACTTACTTCCTAGAATCAGGTTATTCTAAAAAAACTCCCTGGGCTAAACCCACTTAAGATGATTTTGTGTTTCTTCTGTTCCCATTGAAACAGTCTTTACAGGAGGATTTTACTGAATATTCTACCTGGAAGAAAATGAAAAATCGTATTTTCTTTATAGCATATTTACCGATTTGGGATTAATGAAAATTCTTCTCATACCTTATAATTAATTTGTAACTCTACTACTGAAGAGAATAAAAAGGCCAACAATTTTACATGTTTCTGACTTTGGTGGATTAAAAAAAAGACATTTGTGGGTAATTTTATTAGGATATGAAATTACTTGATATTATTTATTCAGTGTTCAAGGACTGCACTATTCACACTACACCTTAAAATTTTCAGTTATCAGGGTTTTAGGAAAAAGCATGTAATATCATCACAACTTTAACCTCAACAGTAATAAATTTCAGGGCTAGGGTTTTACATACACTGACCTGGCAAATATTTTTAACTATAACCTGAATTGTCCTTCAGCCATAAATTAAAATCACTTAGCTTTTTATGCACATAAATTAACATAAATTATGCACATAAAAATACTTTTCAGATGCCAAGTGAAAGAGCTTTCTTCTTGCTCAGTGGTCTTTACATAATATTGTAGAGCAACTCCCATAAACCCTCACTTACTTGATATCACCTTGCAACACACTTCGTTTAAGTTTGTATCTTCCTAAAATTAAGACATCTGGCTAAAATATTTACCAAAAATCCATTCATTAGTATAAGAACCTTTAAAATTATTTCCTTGAGAACCAAAAATCAAATTCGTGACATTCCTTATTTAAAAACTGCTCATTATACTTCTTTATAAAAATAACTTTAATAAAGAATCAAAGGCAAAAGTAAAATTCTGGATTTTACCCCAATGCCTTCCAAAAGTTGCCTATGATTAGAATTTTGTTACAAAGACTTTCCTAATATCAAATCTCTGATCAATTTCCTAAACCATTCTATTCTAACACACTAAATTTTTTTAAGTACTGAGATTTCAGAGGATTCATTACAAAATGATAAATTGACCAGCTAATATTTTACTACTGAGCAAGTATAAATGCATCTTAAAAAGCAATCAGAATACTACTCTAGGCCTTTATTTAAGTAGGTCCAACTACTTTTCAACAGTTGGTATAAAAAGTAGAAAGTTAAAAATCAGCAAATGGAAGATCAAAGTTTATTTACTACCTGCATACAAAAACATATTGCACATCAAACAACCAAAATCAAAAAAAAAAAAGGAAAAAAAAAGGAAAAAGGGAAAAAAAAAGAAAAAAGGGGGAAAAAAGAAAAGATACTCTACTGAAGACTAACATGTAGTTTATACAGAATAAACCTTCTGGAAATTGATCTTTTCAGTAGTTCAGGTTATGTCTGAATGGACATGACTAATTCAGCTTAGTGTTTTAACTAAAGCTATGTTTGATTTTTTAAATACTGTACACTTTAATAAATAAACCAAACAAAGCCTCAATGTAGAACAGTCACTGCCAATATCACCCAGTGTCCCTGCAGATGAGAATTTAACAAATGTATTCCAGTGGCCTGCAGATTTTCCTCTACATACAGCATTTTAAAAACACATTAAAACAGACCAGTTTCCAGACTAAACTAATGAAGAAATTACAATTCAGTGCAAAATATCTTAGACTGCATTTCACTCTAGTTTTCCTCAGGTGAAGAAGTGGTTGCATATTATTAAAAATGTAACAAAAGCAGCTAATGCTTTCATAAAGAATATTCCCTTAGGGATCCCACCCCCCACCCACCTCCCCCCATCTCTGCCATATTTTGAAAACAAAATAACATTTCCTATAGCCAGCAACTTTTTTTAATGTTACATATACTATTCTCAAGGCACATCTGATGATATATTTTATAACACAGTAGGTGTCAAAGTATGTTTAACATATGATTTCTTCAGGATCCCTCCCCTTTCTGAATTCCAAATGGAGGAACTGAAAGTGCGATGTAAAGACTGGCGATCCATAATTCTATCTTTGGCAAGCTTGTACAAGCACTATTGTAAAATGTAATGTAAAAGAACTGTAAACTAGGAACTTCTTCAGTTTATGAAACACCATTCAGGACTGCTGCTTCTTGAGTATTTTCTTCTTTTAAGGTATTAATCTTTTCTTCTCCTGGAGTACGCTGTAGCTTAGAAATTTCATCGCCAGAAGCACTAGTTGGGCCATTTATTGCCTTTTCTGAAGGACCATGCTCTTCAATCACATCTTTTGCCTGCCAAAGGGAGACAACTTTTTCAACTTCTTTATAAATGAAATCTGTAGCTGAGGAGGACAATAGCTACATAAACATTAATTAGCTAATAAATAATTTTAGTTTTCACATACCACAATGGATCAAAGAATTAAAACATTCTTAAAATACAAAACAAATACCAATGTACTCCACCTCTCTGGGCTTTTCAACTCTTTCTCTCTAGTATCTAGCGGTGCATAAACCACAGGAAGAATCTGTACCTGTTTACTGAAAACTTGCACCTACTTTCATTTTAACCACTGGAATGCTCACCATATAAAAGATATAAACATTAATACCCTAAGTAACGCAAATAACCACCTACTTACTCACCTTTTTTTTGGAACTCACATTTACATATCAAATCCCTTAAAATATTTAAAAGAATTGAAACTTAAAGGTCTTTATCCACCACTGAGAAGAGGTATATTCAGCCTATTGTTCCCCAAATTAAGGCAACCGTCTCTATGCCCAGTATCTTTGGGCAGACTGAATTTTACGAATGCTATTTAGAGTTCTAAATGAAAAGTATTTCAGGCTCAAGCATGCATATCTTCAGTTACCTGGGGCCAAAAACAAAATCAAGAGTAGTCTTTAACTAAAATATTACTGGTCTAATTGGGGAAACAAGTGATCATACAAGTAAGTTAAGAAGTGAAAATAAAACTAAACCATACCAAAAACAAAAACAAAAACACCAAAACCTACAGGTTAAATTCTCCTTACCATTTCTTTCTTGTTTTTAGCCAAAGTTTCCCTTGGGAGGTTTCTTTGTCTGCTCTGAGACTCAGCTCTAGAAATATAATCTGCAACTGTGACTGTTGAAGATGAGAAAAAAATTACAGGTGTTGAAAAAGTACTTCTAAAGTTTATTTATGGATAAAGAGTAATTTTACTTTTAAAATAAATTAATGGTGGGTTACCCAATTTCAAAATTTTCTTAAGCTGGGTACCACCTCCAACCAAAAACTAACCCTGAAAAATGTGCCTGTGGTTTAGTGCTGACTACAGAAGATTTCAAGCTGGAAAGGCAAGGAAGCCTAGATTAAAGTCCTCTTCAACAAGAGTCCAGCCATTTGCTTCTGGTTAGTCTACAGTTGTGGGGTAAGTCTGACATAGAAATCCACAACCAAGAAGAGAGAATGCAGCATTGTAAGCCCAGTGTTTGCACTTATCAGTGGGGGAAAAAATGGGGCAAACTGGGTCAAATCGTGGTGTAGCATGCTTCAATTTGAAATTTTCATCAAAGATGTAAAAGATTTACTCAGAAATTAGTTGTTCTGTTTTTTTTTAACATTTTCTTTAAAAGCACAGTAAGATATCCAAGTGTATTTTATGGTTCCTTTTTCACATTTCACACTAGAAACCATTCTGAGTAATCTAAAAAAACTGCAAGCAAACTAAAGATGACAGAACACCAACCTAAAAATGTGGCCATTGATCATGGTGGGAAAAGGTCCACCATTAATTCAGTAACCACTCCCTTTCCCCATCTTGCCAATCTTTCAAGCGACTGACTGAAAAGGTGTTTGTGTTTGCAATGGCAGTAGGGATGCAGGGAAAAGACTAACGCAAAGGCGAGAAGACTAACCCACACTAACACCCTACTGCCAACCCAACTGCAACAAACTACCTCTGGTCTGCTAGTACACTGGACTGGCCTCACTTTATACTGCAGAACTTTCTCTTCAAGGACCTGCAACTTAGAATTCACTGATTTGAAGAAATATCAAAATAATCACCCTCTTCCTTTCAAAGTATTTACTTTCCCTCAGAAACTGGTGAAGAAAAATCCCTGATTATGTGGAATACGGTGTACTTTAAATTATGGAAGCAGGTAAATTACCAAAGAATTAAAACTCGGGTAAATTTAAAATTTAAAGTCACTATGTACAGGAAGAGCTAGTCCATCAGGTTCAAATTATATGAAAATAAAACATTTTAATATAATAAAAAGCTGGATTGTATTTACAATTCATTTTTCTTAATCATGAATTAACATGCTAACACCTTTCTTTATAAGATCCAAGAACTTTCTAGAACTTTCAAGAACTTTCTAAAATTATACTGTTTACCAAGAAAGGATTCTGACATAGATAGAACTATTAAAATGAATCTTTTTAAATCCCAAGGAAACAACTTAATTCAGAACTAATACACATCTTTAGAAACACCGCTAAATAAAGATGTTTCATGTCTAAAACTGTCTCTTTCCCTCCAAATTATAAGAAACTCAATGTACTCATTTTGGAGCTTTATAAACGGTCATTTAAATTCACTGTAAATGAATTTATAAATACATTTAATAATAGTTTCCAAAACTGGGGAGAGGGATACTATCAAATCCACTTCATCATTATATCTACATACACAGAAGCAAAAGCATCCCATTCTACTTTGGAGAGCACCTTAATGAATTCATTCTGTTTCCATGGTTGAGCCCTCAGTGACACCTGGAAGAACTCAGCTACCTGGAAACCCTGATGCATAGACACGCATACTGCTAAATTTGAACACGTGACAATTCTTAGAACTCTTCATCCACTATGTACAGAGAATAGTATACTTTGATACAGTTTATCAATTAATTAATAGGCACTTAGCTGGAAAGGTAAAAATTTATCAGTGCCCCTCCCCTACCAAAGGGAGGTAAAACTAAAAATAACCTCAGTTAATTCAAAGAAAAACCTGTTTATAGCCAGTCTTTAAAATAAAAGCCACTTAAAAGTTCAAAACAGATTAATAGGTATTTACAATACCTAGAAAAAAATTGAGGCAATTTGTGCAGCATAATTTGGACTCTAGAATTTAAGGGCTCCAAAGTTAATCCACTGAACACCAGTATACTGTCATTCTTTTCTTAGTAAAGAATACTCACTGCTTAATTTATACTAAGGGCAACAAGAAATTCTGAGCAAATATTTGTTTATTTCAGAGAATGTTGACATTAACTTTGGATAGAAGCTGCATTCGTAGAACTCCTTCCAGGGGCAAAGGAGAAAATGATGTGCTTTTTCCACCCAGTGTGTGTGTGTGTGTGTGTGTGTGTGTGTGTGTGTGTGTGTGTGTGTGTGTGTGTGTGTTGATTTGGGGGGTAGGGGGCACGCTGAGAAAGGCAATGAGTTCTAAAGAGGAAATTAGTACTTCCAAAGAAAAGAGTAAAACAGGAATAAATGCAGTAAAGAACACAAATCATTGCTTAATTATTTAAAACTCTAAATTACTCAAGTTTCAATTAATACCATGCAGAAATCTCTTCCTCTTCTTTATCAAAGGCTTTTATGTTATTCCCTTTATGTCCTTTGACTTAGTAATGAACCACCATCCACCTAGTTAATAAATTATGTTGTAATTTATTCTATCTCAAGCCCAACCTACTAACAGCTTAAATTTCCTTATTTGTAAAGTATAGCCAAAAAGTGTATGCACTGCTATGCCAGCTTCAAAAAACAAAATAAATACAATCTCTTCATCTAAAAGATATTTCTAACACTAAAGAGAGAGAAAAGAAGAGAAAACAATAACATTTCCTGGAACCTATTTTGACAATATTTAATTCCTTTTAAATTTTCAACTATCTTTAAAACATCAACTTTTTTTTCCCCAAGAATGGAAACTAATACCCTTAACCAGTTTTCTCAAATGTCTCTACAACCACTAAACTTAAAATTCTAAATAAAGATACTGGAATTTACATTCTTTATTTGGGGAAAACACAAGAATTTGCTTTGGAAAGAATGCAAAATTGATTAGTTTAAAAGGGGTTTATTTCTGGTGCACACAGTTTCTTCATTGTAAATATACATGTGATTCTCCATACAAAGGAAATGGAATTATGTTCAAGATAGTATAGACACAGCAAACAAGTTTCTTTGAAGTTACTAAAAATTATATCTACTTAAATTAACATTCTAAAACTAAGTAAGTACTATTAATTTGAATAGTTAGTAGGTGTAAGGGAAAAGGCATCACACTACAATAAACAAAAACATAACATGCATTCCTCTTACTAGGAAAAAGACACTTTCAAGTATTTTTTTCATTTATACTTTTTTTTTTAAACTGTGGGTATGAGAAACCCCACAAAAATGAGGTGCTGAACCCAGATATAGCAAGCAGGCACCATGCAAAAGCTGCCCAGTTTTGCCAATCAACCTCAATCACAATCTACAACATAGTTCCTGGGATGGCAGGCCCCAACTCAAGAATGCAGAATCTGCCAAGTGGACCAAATAACGGTATTCTCAACAGTATTTCCATGTAAAAAAATTGAGACACAACATTAGTTCAATTAGACGGGTTTACTACATATTTACGGTGTGAAGGAAGAATGCATTTTCTTAAGAGTAGTAGTCGTATTAGTTGAGTAAACAATTTATGCAATGCACATCTTGAATGTATATGCACAGGTGTACATGTAAGTATAATATATTTAGAAAGCAGACACATGACATTTTTTTTTCATGCTTGTAACCTGGTGTTGGCAACAGGTCCACGCAAGTTACCTGGCTGTCTATCTTCTGCCTGACCCCTGAAACGACGCCTGCGGCTACGATTGCGTCGCTGGGGTTTTTTTTCACTATCATCTGTAATTGCAAAGTTCACCATGAACTATTCTGACAAAAACAAAGCAAAAAACAAAGCAAAAAAAATAAAAAAACTTCTTTCCTTCAAAGATTTAAAGAAGGGAAAAGAACCTTTTAATTCAACAGGAAAAATAAAACAATACACATTACTCACAGGAAAAATACTTTTGTAGTTTAAAACATTCCTACTACATTAAATATGGAATTATCATCCAGAAATTAAGAGGGTTTTAACTCTTGATTAAACAAACTCTAAGACTTAATTATCATCATTCAGGAATAAAGTTTTCCTTTTTTTTACCAAAGTTAATGACATTTTAGCCCTCTGGAAATCAATTCCTACTCAGTATACACACCTTCATTAGCGTCATTTATAACATTTAAAGAGGCAAACTGAAAGCCCAATTTTGGTTTAGAACAGTAAGAGTATTAAGTGCCTTGCAGTTTGAATATTTGTATTGTTTTAATGGCATCAAAGGGCATTTTAATAAACCTTCCCAGTTTCAAATTATTTGGCTATACAAATCTGAGAACTAGACATTTAAGACAGACACAAAGCCATCTACCTCGTCTGAAGTAAACACTAGGAAAAATTCAACTTGTGAATTGCATATGTTTGGGATTTTTTTTTAAAAAAAAGCTTCATACATTAACAATATTATACAATAATATGTATCTTTTCCCTAAGTGCTTACATACCTAGCCCATTTTCATTAACTGAAGCTGTATCAGATTCAGTCATCCCATCCATCAGAACAGCATCTTCATCAGTCCTTCGTCTACGAGACCGCCTACGACGGTTAGTACTGTGATGAGATTCGCTGGCATCAGTGTCTGCAGTCTGATCTGATTCTGTATTATCAAGTAAGCTGTATGGATTGCTGTCTGGATCTTTGAGCACTATATGCATGTCAGAGGCAAGAAATATTTGTTTAAGAGAGCTGCAGTTATTAGGAATACTCTGACCTATATTGAACTATATCAATTAATGATAAGAAACTTCAATTTTCCCCAGGTAAAAATATACCCTCTCTGTCTTCAGATAAAATGTTTTCTGTATCACTATTTTACCTGAAAAACAACAAATATAAAAACCTTTAAATGGCAATGAAATATTAAAACAGAAGATGGGCAGACAACTTGGCTTTCTACCATTTCTCTTTGACTTGTTTTGAAAACGTATTAGGAACTAGTATATTATTACATGCTACATTCACATTCCTAGCTAATCCTGCCCAGAGGCTAGAGAAATAAAAATGAAAACAAATATTCAGCTAAAATGAATCAATTCCACGAAACAGCTTTTTGTCTCCATAACTGAGTTCAATGTGGTTGCTGCTTCTTTGTGCCAATGTTAATGAACTATTTCCAAACAATACTCAACACCTGCACTCCATGACATAACAGAAATCTCTAAATATGAACTGAAGCAAGCAAAGCAAGTCTACACAAAAAAGCATACTAAAAAATTTGAAATTCTAACTGGTTATAGGAAAATGTGGAAATAAATGTTGAGTAGTACTCCCATCTCCAGAAAGAAAGAGTGAAGGGGGAGTAAGGTGGGGTGAGGGTGGGAAAGGAAAGGTTTTAAGATATAATTTATAAGAAAAAAAAAATACCCATCTTACCTATGTGCATTTATTGCTTCCACCAATCAAATTATAGAAGAAATTCACCTAATCACGATTTTTCCTTTCTAAGTTTCCTTTGGTAACAGCTAGCAAGCTAGCATCTTTGCAAAAGACACTAAGTTTATCCATTAATCATAAACACTAGGTAAAGTACATTTACTTTGTAATTCAGCATACTATAATTTTATAAACCTTTATAAGAGTGAACAATATACTAAAATATAAAAAACTGCTTCCCTGGAAGTCTGTAAACTGAACTTTAGGACTTGAAGAATATCACTAGAACTAGAGAGTACTTTAAAGTCCCGTAAAAGGTGTGATTTGATCCAGCCTTTTTTTAAAATTTATTAAGAGTGGTTTTATTAAAAGTTGCCATACAATAATATGCTATGGATCTAGTCCATGGATCCCTGACAATTCTCAATTCTCCCCCCAGCCCATTATATAAGCTAAGAACATTCTGAATATTCTAACTAAACTTTCACTGAGAAACACTCTATAGTGCTTTTCCTTATGTTGCTATGTGTATGTGTGTGTATATATATATTTTACTATTTTCCTCAGTTAAAAGAGAAACTTCCAAAAATGAGTGGCCCTGGTAAATGAATTAACGTATATGAAATTGTACTGTTTACCAAGAAAGGATTCTGACATAGTATATAAAAGACTACCAGAACTGATGGAAGATTTGCCACCACGTGGTCCACCACGACCTCGACCCCCTGAAACACTTCTGCCTCTTCCTCCTGGGCGTCTCCTGCTGTCACGCTGATGCCGGCTCTCTCGGTCATCTTCTCCCGCCAATGACCAATCACTTAGCTCGTCTTTACGCTCAGATTCAGTTTCAGATGGGTTAGACAGCTCAGAGTTTGTACCTTGGGAAAGAAGAAAACATAAGCCAACTATATTTCTATTAAAGAAAAAAGTGAAAATTTTCAACATTATTTCCTGCTAATCATTGTTTAAATAACCCTACTGATTGGCTGCTCCAAAGAAAGAGAAATAAAAATGTTAATGAATTTGAAATTTATTAACTAAGAAATAACTGAATGTTAATATTGTATACTAGTAATAAAGTATTTACCTAGTCAGACAGATTAAAAATTGAACTGTTTGGATGCGCAGAAACATGGCCAATAGAATTTTGCAAAGAACATACAAAACATTACACATATACAATATGAAAATGCACTTAATATAGGGAAATATTTTTTAAATTTTGCCCATTTTTAGGTTTTTAACAAAGTGTTAGTATTGGGTTGGCCAAACAGTTCATTTGGTTTTAAGTAAAAATAAAAGACACATTTTTCATTTTCACCAAGAATTTTATTGCACAATGCATTCACTAACCAAACGAACTGTTTGGCCAACCCAATATAATAAGAAATAACCACTATCCAATATTTAAAAGCAAATTTAATCATATTTAGAAGAATGAGTACTTTATCTGCATACTGTATTCTACCATTATTTCACTGATTCTAGGCAGCACCTTTTTTTCACATTTAACATCTCTGAAATAAGAATATTTCTTATAATTGATGGTCTCATGAACTGGGAGTGTATTTTTAGTAGCTCTACATAAAATTATGTTTTTCGCACAATAATGTCTTAAGTTTGAAGAATACAGCGTTTGAAATCACTGAACAAATTTTAGGTTACTCTAAAAAAAGACAGCTTCAACCTGACAATCAATGGAGTTGAAGCCATTATCAGTGAAACAAAACTTCAGCATGACTTTAAAAGTTTACGGACTTTTTCTAACATCCCAATGGCCAAATTCAATAGTGACCTTTTAAAAATGTAAACACTGCAAAGATTCTATGAAAGCCTACATCATTATTATGATAACACAATTAATGTGTCAGATTTATATGACCCAATCACTATCATACTCATTCCCACTTCTATTCTTTGTTAGTTCTGGGATGGCACTTTTTCATCCTTTCCTCTTAGCATGGAGGTATCCTATGCTTTTCAAAAGTTCATTTTACACCTTTTTTTTTTTTTCCCTGGCTGCATTGGGTCTTTGTTGCTGTGCACGGGCTTTCTCTGGTTGCAGCGAGCGGGGGCTACTCTTCATTGCAGTGCATGGACTTCTCATTACAGTGGCTTCTCCTGTTGTAGAGCACGGGCTCTAGGCACGCGGGCTTCAGCAGTTGTGGCACGCGAGCTCTAGAGCGCAGGCTCAGCAGTTGTGGTGCACGGGCTTCTTTGCTCCGCGGCATGTGGGATGTCTCTGGACCAGGGCTCAAACCCATGTCCCCTGCATTGGCAGGCGGATTCTTAACCACTGCGCCACCAGGGAAGCCCATTTTACACCGTTTTGCTTTTACAAAAGACCTCCACAAATACCTGTTTTCGCTAACCAAAAGAAATCAAAGAGGATTTCTGCTTTAGGAAAAAAAGGCACGAAGAGAAAATAGCCTTCAGCACTTGCTTTGCAGCAAGCCATTATAGAGGCAGCAAGCACCCCAAACAGTGACAGCAGCACACCCCAGCTCCTTCCTCAGGAACTAAACTCAGCATCAAGCCAACATAGTTTTGAACTGTGTCGGTGAGCATCTGTGCTTTATCTCACATTATTTTGTGCATCTATTAGCAAGATGTGTCCTAAGGTAATTGCTTCTTCACTTTATGCCATTTCAGCTTACAAAAGGTTTCACAGGAAAACTCTACTTTCTGATAGTGTGGGAAACCTATACATGCAAATCTATCTCCTTAAGGGCCCAGTTCAATGTCTGTAGCTTCCAACCAATTTAACTAAAAACAGACCTCTCCCCTTATTTCCTTAAAATTAATGTGTATCTATCATGAAGTATTGTCATGTGTTGTTTTCTATTTTCTCCAGTGTGGATTTACTTCCCACTTGGTCTACAATATAATAAAGGGGAGAGCTCTGTCTTGTATCTCTAAATGCCCCCAGAAGCCTAGCAACATGCATATCAATTTTCTCTTGAGATGTGAATTTGCTGCATGATTTTGAAGTTCCTATGCTGAACTCCCAAATAAGAAAGATAAACTAGAAATACACTATATTAACTCCATAGTCATTTAATGATAAAAGCAAAACACAAGAGCTCTTCAGATACACAAAATGCTATGTACTAAAGTACAGGGATTAAAATGTAAAGTTTAAAAACAAGCCTACCAACTTCCTTTCCCCTTTAAAGATAAGTCTTCTATCATCTTTTTTTCTCCATATGCCATTAAATATAGATGTAGCTAGTCATTATATAAGAATGGATACGTTAGACATATATTTTAAGAAAAATATAGCAAGCTTCTAGTACTGACATTCGAGTCTTTGTTAAGAAATGAGTCTCATAGTAGAGAATGAATTAAAACACTTATTTTTCCAAATGACAAAAAAGAACTTTGTTAACTGATGTCATGGTCTGGTGGAATAAGGGTAGTTTATCATTTCATGAGTAGCTAAAAAAACAAAACAAAACAATCAAAAAAACCCTTGGAATGTATCAGAACTTTGGGATTTATTTACAAAGCTATATATCCTGCCTGAAAACATTACCAAAATTTGAAGTTAGATGAGTATCTCATTTTTTAACAGAAGTTCCTTTCAAATTATCTTTAGAAATACAGTGTAGTATTTAACTCAGTATCATAAGCAAAAAAATTTTCTTAGGTTTAACCTAAATCTAATACTCAAGATACTCAAAGAGGGCGTCTAAATCATAAATAGATTTCAGTAGATAAAGACAGCTATTAAGGTCAAAAAAAAAAAGCTAATGAACTGGCTAGTGTTCCACTTCCTTCATATTAAACATTTCTGAGATGGCATAAGGAACTCTGCAGATGTAATTAAGGTTAAGGATATTGAGGTGGGAGGATTATCCTAGATCATCCAGGTAAGGCCAAATTAATCACATGGATCTTTAAAAAGTAGAGAACCATTCTCAACTACAGAGAACCAGAGATGATAGCATAAGGACTCTCTGTAATTACTGGCTTTATCAGACGGAGGAAGTGGTCAATAAGCCAAGGAACAGAGATTGTCTCTATAAGCTGGAAGTGTCAAAGGAACAAATTTTTCCCTAGAGCCTCCAAAAGGAAATACAGACATGCCAACACTTAGATTTTAGCCCAATGACACTCATGTCAGATTTCTGACCTATAGAACTATAAGATAATAGTATTGTAAAAGCCTCTGAAATTATGATTTGTTGCATAATCAACAGAAAAATACTGTTAAAATCATTCCAATCTCAATTCTGTAAAATATAAGTTCATGAATCCAAAAAGTCAGGGTGGGGGGAGGCTTTATAAGTGATCCATGAAACCAGTTCATTTGTAATGGCTCCAACAAATAAAAAGACCTGTTTTTAACAGAATTTTAACTCATATTTTCCCCTAAAACTTCTAAAATCACCTTATGAAGATGGTTCACATCCTTTTAAACTATAGCTTTTTTTCTTTTTTTTTTTGCGGTAAGCGGGCCTCTCACTGTTGTGGCCTCTCCTGTTGTGGAGCACAGGCTCCGGATGCACAGGCTCAGCGGTCATGGCTCACGGGCCTAGCCGCTCTGTGGCATGTGGGATCTTCCCGGACCGGGGCACGAACCCGTGTCCCCTGCATCTGCAGGCGGACTCTTAACCACTGTGCCACCAGGGAAGCCCCTGTTCACATCCTTTTAAATGAACACGTATGCTGAACTTAATATTAACAGCTAAAGCCCCACATTTTATCAAATCCAACATTAAGTCATATTTTGTGTGCCATTTAAAGAAAATGCTGCCAATTAAAGTTGTAAGACATCATCCATTGTAACACATATAACTTCAGAGATGTTAAATTCTTATACAGCTTATACATATATATATATTCACCACCTAAAAAACCTTCTGCTATTAAGTGGACAAGAACATCTACAACCAAATTCAAATAATTTTTATTTCTCTGGAGCCCACTTTAAGTCCAACAGCTATTTCAAGAAATACAATGTTACTAGTTGGCAAAGATTCAGAGGTAAGAGTGCCATCTACTGAACAATCTGCATAGCTTTCTTCAATCCAAATGATATTCCTCTACCATTCTCATTTAAATTTATTTCTGTCAACAAAAGCATTTTGCCAAAGAGTGACCTCTCATCAATAAGTGGACTTCCCAGAGGCTTATAAAATTGTTCAATGAATTCATCAACCAAAAAACCAAATCTGATTATTTGTACTAGTAATTTGTACCTCTAAAATCATTCAATATGTACTTAATTTCTATTTAACTACTGATTGTCTTTTGTATTAAATGTGCTTTCAGGATTTTAATAGTTCTCAATTCTCAGTCCTTCACATACTGAACACAGTAACTGGAATTCTTCTTTTCAGGCTTCAATATAGGGTTAACTTTAAAATAATGAAAAAAGGGGAAGGGAAACTTGACCATCCAACTCTACAACAAATGAAAAACAGTACAAATCTAATATAACTCTGGCATCATCAGACGATCCTTTGGTCAAACATGAAATGTGGAAGTGGAATCTGCACACTGTAAAGCTTTCGTGTATTTGTTTTCCCTAAATGCCTTCTATTCTGGAAAAGGCTTATGAAATTTTTTCCCAAAGCAGTCAGGATGAGCATAGGGGAGTAGAGAAGAGAGAAGAGAAGAGAGAAGGAAAGAGAGAAGGGAAGAAAAAAATCAGGTCACTGCTAAGATCCAAGTCCAAATGCAGAAAAATGGAACAACTCCAAAGCTGAAGACAAACTGAGAAATTTAGGATTAGAGAATTGCTGACAATCACCATCCACTGGTCCCTTCCTATATAGGTTAAGCCCCATCCTCTCAGTGAAGCACATTTTAGAAAAATGTTCACTTATAAAATGTCAACTAGGTTCTAACTTTTAAAGCTCTCATATTATTGAAATGCTGTATTTCACAAAATAATTCCAGATGTGAGATACTAATATTCAAAACTGCCAAATGAACCAATATAGTATATTTTAAAAACCAGTACAGATTTGCTATATGTAATCGTGGCACAGTGATTAGTGTATTTTTTCATTTTTACTTTTCCTAGAGGGTAGGCAAAAGATAAATCCTAGTAATATCACCACCATCACTAGGTTTTTATTGGAAAATGTATATAATTGTACAGAGAAAATACCTGAGAAAACAAGTTGCATATATATTTATTCTAAATATTTAGAACAAACATGATCATGAGCTATAAACTTAACAAAAACATGTTTCATTTCATTACACACAAACCTTTTACTTGAACACTATAAACCTTTTACTGTCATTAATATAAAAAGCATGCTGTCACTATTAAAACATGTACCTCAGAACTATTTCCTGCCCTCAAAGCCAAGATAAAGTGATGAACTAAACAATAATAAGCAGGACTTCCCTGGTGGCACAGTGGTCAAGAATCCGCCTGCCAATGCAGGGACACAGGTACGAGCCCTGGTCCGGGAAGACCCCACATGCCACGGAGCAACTAACCCCACGCACCAAAACTACTGAGCCTGCTGCGCTCTAGAGCCCACAAGCCACAAGTACTGAGCCCGTGCGCCACAACTACTGAAGCCCACGCTCCGCAACAAGAGAAGCCACCGCAATGAGAAGCCTGCGCACCGCAACGAAGAGCAGCCCCCGCTCGCTGCAACTAGAAAAAAGCCCACGCACAGCAATGAAGACCCAACGCAGCCATAAATAAAATAAATGAATGAATGAATAAATAAAATGAAATAAAAAATAAATCCTAAAAAAAGCCCAAAAACAATAATAAGCAAAATGTATTGGATCACTGAAACCACTACCAAAAAAAAAAATTTTTTTTTTACCATAACCGGAGGTGTAATTAGGGCCCCGACGACCTCTGCCTCTTCCACTATAAGACCTAGAACCTTGTACAGAAGAGACGGTACTTTCATCAGTGGCATATCCTTTCTCTTTTTCAGGCCCTCTGGTGGAAGAAGGTCTGAAACCCATACCAATCTGTCGTAGCTGTTCATCAATCTGCAGGCGTTCCATTCTTAGCTGTTCTACTTCCTATAACCAAAACAAAAAAGGATAAATCTTACATGGTTTTTTTTGTCTTCTTAAAGCCCAGAGCTTGAGCTATACTCCAGTCCTACGAATTAAAGAAGCTTGTGATCTTGGGCAGTTATTCAGCAAAGTGTAACTGTATTCCTAGTGAACACAATTTACAAGGTCATTTGCTACTTCAATTCACCAAGCATCTACAAATGCCTTAGCATCATGTGCCAACCATGCTAAGTGCTACAGGTATGCAAAATAAAAAGACAATGACTCTTCTCCTTCAAGGGAATGTTTACACACAAGCATTAGAATAACCTAGGGGATGTTCAACAGACAAGTGCTGAAATAACCTATTTAAACAGCTAATAATTACATAAAATTACCAGATCTAGCCTTCCAGGAGTAAAAACTCTGCTAAATGAGGTAAGGTACCATTTATGACTGGTACTATTAATAACCTACTTTCCTATCAAAATAATGACACTTGAGTTGTGACCTAGATGAACTGGCAGACTTGGTCATTCAGAGAATGAGGTCATTACAGGATGTGAAGGTAAGGTGTCTAGAGAAAGCTCTTGGCTAAAAGGCAGAGTATTGGAAAGATGAGTTTTAAAAAAAGGAATGACATTATCAGGGGTGCTTTCAAAATATTAACACAGCAGCCAACAATATGAGTGACTAAAAGGAAAACATAACTAGAGACCGAGCAGTTGAGATACTATAAACAAGAAAAAAACAGCAGGAATAAGAAGAGTAGAAAATGACAATTCCAACTTATAGGGAATTTCTTTTCTAAAACCTTTTCTCTTTATTCATCAACCCAGACAGACTATATTTAAAAAAATGGTTAAGAATTATCAACTGATATCTATGGGGGTAGTACACGTGATTCAGAGAATATCAGTTACCAAGAAAGCCCACCTTCATTCCTGGTTCTGTGTCCTATCTGCATCAAACACAAGAGTGACCATGTCTTAAACAGTACGGAAAGAAATGTAAAGTACAGAGGGAAAGAGAAAAAATGTACACGAGGCCAATCATTTTACTACAGCAAAGGACTTTTAACATTCTCACGCAGAAAGAAAGGGCAAATACGAAGCTGAATTAACAAAAATATTTAAAGACTTAAAATTTATTACAAATATAAAATTAAAGTTTAACGTGTGGAGCAACATGATATGAATACTATACAAACCTTTAGATAAGCAATATGATACTCTAAAAGAACTTGCACATTTCCAATGCTTTCTTTAGTGCCAACAAATACAAATGGAACCATCCCCTGTAAGAAAACACAACATCCTCAGTATTTAATATTTATGTTTTCTAATTTCTAATTCAATCTAATCTTTTAAGTATATAAACCAACTTTTAAAGAAATTTTCCATCAAACTGGCATGAATTTTCAGACTAGATATATCACTTTAGTAGTGCTTTCCTTAAAAACGTAATAAAACCCATTAGCCAGGTTATCCCTATATTATGTGCTCAGATAGCAAAACTTCCAACATGTGTGTAATGGAAGGAGTACTTCGTGATCATTAATAGAAGCATCATCTACAGACTCTCAATATTTACGCAATGTAAAGAAATTACTGATATGGGCAAGTAGTCACCAGTTATTAAAACAAATGAAAGGATTAACCCAGACCTGGTTTACTTAGCTGAATTTCAAAAGAGGAAGGTTTAAAAAAGTGAGGAGGAGAATAAGATGATAATTTTCTTTTCCTTTATAGAAGTAAACTTCCAGCTTCCTACTGGCTAAGGGCAATGAACAGATCCTAAGTAAACTCACCCAATCACAGAGTTCTTTCCTCATTTTCTTGATTTTACAGAATAGTTCCTAACAGTTATCTAAACAAACTGGCTTAACTTTGGATTCTAAATATGGAATTAAGTGTGGCTTAACTTTTTATTCTATGTAAGAAACTACTATGTGACTTATTTTCAAAATTTTTTTTTTTTTTTTTTTTTGGTGGTATGCGGGCCTCTCACTGTTGTGGCCTCTCCCGTTGCGGAGCACAGGCTCCGGACGCGCAGGCTCAGCTGCCATGGCTCACGGGGCCCAGCCGCTCCGCCGTGTGTGGGATCTTCCCGGACCGGGGCACGAACCCGTGTCCCCTGCATCGGCAGGCGGACTCCCAACCACTGCGCCACCAGGGAAGCCCCAAAATAATTTTTTAAAAATTTAATTGAATTTTAGTATGGGAGATCAAAAAGAAGAAATGGACCAGGGCAGGTGGTAAGGCTACAGTACAGACCACAGCTATCATGGAGCTTAAAGCGAGTGACTATAAGGAAGTAATTACAACTAGGAAGGCATGAAACAAGGGACTCTAACTTAAGCTTATTAGGAAGTGAGAAAGTCTTGACAGTGTCCTCAAAAATTCACATGCAGAAAACAGAGGATATAAAGTGAATAAAAGACACAGGGGAGGGGAAAAAAAGAGATCTAAAAAGTTTTAATCACATACTGTATTTCTGGGACTATATTATTTACATTCATTATTTAATGTTCATTAAAAATTCACTTTAAGAAATATCCCAATTCTACAGCTGAGAAAACAATTTGCTCCCAGCCAATTTCATATCCAGTTACTTAATTCCAAACAACATCCACGTGTTAACTGCCAGAATATACGCTAAGGAATAGGATAAATAAAGTCCCTGTTCTAAAGGTAATCACAATCTCAGAAAAGATAATAAACCTTCCTGTAATAATCTCATTGTACAGCATTAGTGATATGAACTTTAAAAGCACAGGAATATTAGGTAGAATGTGAATTATGCCATCCCAGATGTGGAAATTTAGGGGAATTCATAAGAATATTATTGTCATTTAAAGTCAATATTAAAAATAAATAGAATTTTACAAGTAGATAAAAACGGTAAAGTCTTTCCAAACAGCTGATCTGCAAGGATTAAGAGAAATAGAATGCCTTGACCCCCAACTGGAGATAGTAACCAATAGTTACCTCCAAAGAAAAGGAGCAGTAAAAAGGCATCCTTAACTGCACGTATTTTACCAACTATTTTAATAGGTATTATAACCCATTAAAACAAAAAAACTGGAGTAAAGAGTAAATGATTATTACTGAATATATGAGCTTACATCTAAGTTATTTCAGTGAAATTTCTAGATTTAAAAATATTTTTTAAACTGATTATTTATAGTTAACAGGTGACACTGAGATAAACTAGCACTCAGAAAAAAATAACGCTGATCCTGCTCCTGATAACATTACACCAAAAAAAAAAAAAAAAAAAAAAAAAAAGGAACAAAAAAAATAAAAAAAAAAAAAAAAAAAAAAAAAAAAAAAACTGGAGGGAAAAAACTAGAAATGCACTTCTGAACAATCTATGACCTGCCAAACATGACACAAAACTGCAGAAGTCAGAAGGCAAAAATATTTGCCACATACATAAAAAGACTAACTTACTCAAAATGCAAAAGCTTACACACTTCAGTAATAAAAAATGACAAAAAATATGCAAAGGACAATCTGTTTATAGAAAATGTCTTTCAAGCAAATGGAAAGATAATATGTACATCTTCTGGAATGGCACTAATTAAACTGTGATAAAACTCAGTACTGGCAAATATGTGGAATACAGACATTTTCTATACTGGTGGAGGAATGTGTGGGAAAACTAACAAGATTTAAAAATTTAAATGCCATATAGCCTTTGATCTAACAAATGCATTTCCAGGAATTTACTCTTCAGTCACAAGGGACCTTTGCTGCAACATTATTTTTAAGAGCAGAAGACACAAAAAGGCAACCTGACAAGTCTAACATCTATTAGACATGATGGAAAGAGAAAGACATGGACAGGACATAATATAATTTATTTTTTACACCATACCTTTCTGTGCTGTTCTAACCTTTACATAAACCGTGTTTCTTTTACAATTAAAAACTCAAATCTAATCTTAAAAAACCTTAATTAACTGACTTTAAATATTTACCAGGTGCCTACTCTATATAGTTCATTATGCTAGGGAAGAAGGGAGAATATGAGAATTCAGATTTGATTTCTTGACTTCAAGGAGCTCCATAACCTGGCTTGGAGACATAAGATAAACCAGAAAACAAAATACAAGACTTCAAGAAAATCATTAAATACACAATTATATAGACAATAAAAGCTACGGTATACAGGTGGAAAGGTCATATTGGGCTAGAGGTGAGTCACCGAAGACTTCAGAGTAAACAAGTTATAAACTGAGTCTCCAGGGGATTTAGACAGCTTTTTTTCTTTCTTTCTTTCTGGCCACGACACACAGCTTGCGAGATCTTAGTTCCCCAATGAGGGATCGAACCCAGGCCCACAGCAGTGAAAGTGCAGAGTCCTAAACACTGGACCGCCAGGGAATGCCCCTAGACAGCTTAAATTGTGAAATGGTGGCCCCAAATAAGCCAATATCAACCTTCAGATTTGTTTTCACATGCAATGTTTGGAAAATTGAAAAATTTTGTGTACTGTTTAGGTTTCCAGCTTTTCTTTAAAATATTGGAAGAAACAGCAACACATAATACATGCATTCCTACACAGCAACCAGATTAAACGTGAGCAGCATGTTTCTTTTATAGAAAGGCACAGTGTGCCCTCCCTTTCCTATCTTGTATATCCCAACTTGCTTCGTAATTTACATAATGTGCTTGGTATCTTTTAGCATTTAAATTTCTTAACTCTGGCACACAAATGGAGGTAACAATGACCAAAACTAAAGGAAAGTACAATAACTTCTTAATTTATGAAGGAGGGCCTAGAAGAATTAGCTTGCAACAAGATGGTAAATATTGGAAAGCAACTGGGACTAAGTCAAGCTAAGGGAAGACTAGATATTAGTATCAAGCTAAGAAATTTATAATTGAGTCATTAATGACCCTGCCCAGTAAACACCTTGATCTTCAGATCAATTTTAGGCAGTGGTTGTATGCCAAATGGATCACCATTATTTTATATAGTAAGTATAAATGGGGACAGTGCCAATTATAACAGTATGACACCCTCAATTTTAATCATCTTAAATTCAATGAAAAATGGGGTTTCCCCCCCATTTGGGGCATGGTGTTTGCTTAAGAATAAGTTAAAATTACTTGAGGTTCACAGCAGTTTTTGAAGCAGTGTAGGATGAAATCAACCCACAAGTACTCATTTGTATAATAGTAAGACATTTCTTTTCTCTCATTTGTTTTTAAGTGTGTATTTTACCTCCACATTCTAACTAATTAAAAGGAATAAAGAAAATGGTATCTTTCATAGGCATCTTTACAACATCAAATACCAGCTGTGAGGCTATTTATCTGAGCCAAAATCTACAATTTTCTCTGTGTGTGTCTCTTTATTTATTTATTTTAAAAAAAAAAAACTTACTCTGCCCGATAGGCAAACAAACTCTCTAGTTATCATGCAAAACTGAGGAAGGTGTGAATGTACTGCTTTCTGGGAGATAATTTGGGGGAAAATCCTTGCCTTATGTTCAGACATGCAACTTATACAGAGTTGACCACTGGAGCCACAAAGGTGAGAGATGCTTACAGTGGTGGATGAGAAGGAAAAATACAGCACTGTGGACAAGACATCAACATGTAAGAAAAAGACTGAAAAAGAAATTTCAGAAAGTTGGTATCAGAATTACTAGCAACATAAAGCTTAAAGATTTCAAATAAGAAATGGTTAGGGCTTACAAATTCTAAAAAAAAAAGTTCAAGGAAGTGTTATGTATCAAGAATTCCTTCACAGCCGACTGTTTTGTTTAGAATATCAAACTCTTTACACTCTAAGTTCAAAAAGAAGAACTGTTAGGATTATCAGTCTTTTTTTTTTTTTACCCCCAGAACTGGCTTTTTTACTGACATACTGAGAAACCAACCAAGAGCCCAAGACCAACAACTGAAAGATGACTTGTCTTCTAAGTGTGTTAAGCAACATTGTAAGGAACAGAACTTTTTAAAAAAGAAAAATCTGCTGCAGAGCATAAGCAGTTCACTGGATATAACTTTCCTAAAACAATTTTCAAAATATAAAAAATAGTACTGTAAGTCAACCAGAAAAAGAATGGGCGGCGGAGGGGGGGGAGGGAGACGCACGACACAGGCAAATTATGTTTTAAATACTTACATCTTCTCTAGGTAGTTTATTTTCATTGTCTCCTTCAATTCTCACCCGAACCACACCAGATTTGTCTACTATTTCTTGAATAACTTTGCCATTCTTCCCAATTACTTTTCCTTTAATAAGAGAAAACATATATAATGGTAAGTTAAAAACCAACACTGCTTATCATTTCAACACCAGCCCAAATAATTTGACTTACTATCAAATTATAAAAACCAAGCAAAACTTCATCTTCTTACTCTCAATTAACTCACCCTAAAGACCACTGAGGAACTTTATCCTTGGTATGAAACCTTCACTTCGGTACGCCCAAGGCAACTACTGTTAACTGAGATTGACAGTGCCACTCACAATGTAAGCCATTTTCAATGTCTAAGTATTTTTTAATATGTTCTATATCATTTTTCTATTTTTAAAATATCAAGTCCAATCCATTTATTTCAAAAACTTGGATATATAAATGAAGGCAAAAAGAAAACTTTTATTTTGGCATTAATCACATCAATTTGTTTACATTTATGACATATTACATATATTATTATTCAAACAACTAACAAAGTCATCAATCTGGCTTTTAAGTTCCTACTTGTTCAAAAGACACCTGTGACTTCAAGATTCTTTTAAAATGAATATTCTCTTCACCAAAATAAAATGTTGACATTTAACAAGTATTACATTTTACACCTGTAAGTTTTTAAAGTACTGCAGAGGTGTACAACTACATACAACATGTATATGGTTTGCTGTCTTCCTAGATACGAAATACTGTAAAATGACATAAATTCAAATTATTTACCTTCTCCACACTTAACTTGTAAGTCTGTCACATAGCAGTTACTGAGTATCCAATAATTAGAGGAGAAACTAAAAGGAGGACACGAAGATGCTCTTCCCCTTAGGAACTCACTTTTTATAAAGCTAACATACACCCATAAAGTAACAAAACAATACTGGGTAGTGTTACCTGGTAACAGAAGTAAATGTTCAAGTAACTACCAGTATATGGAATAGATGTATCCTAAGTTAACAGCAACATCTTATTTGTTAAGTCCAAATCCTCAATTAATTAAAATTTTATACTATATCAGCAATCTATTTCCACAATAAATTAATTTTGGTTGAAAGAGGTTAAAATGTAAGTTTCTCCTATTGCATGCTTGAGAGAACAGTTCTCAATAAAGAATAAATAAGGGGGGAAGGAGATAAATAAGGAAACAATGGCAACAATAAGCCAGTCAATACAGCAGACATTATTATAGGATTTTCAAACCTCCTTGCCCAATAACCCTAAATTTAAAAGCACCAGCAATTGAACAGGTAAAAAGAAAAAACAAAGGAGTAGGACAGGGAAGTCACATGATGTATGTCTTCTCTGAACAGCCCTAGCAGCAGCATATAAAAGCAACCTTCATGTTAACACAGTGAAGCTCAAGCAGCAACTCCATCCTTGACCCTGCTAAAAATAAGCAAATATCTTTTCGAAAAAAACAAAAATCAGATTGATATATCATACCCCCTCCCCCAAATCTTTACCCCTTCCTTCTTGTGAACTATACCAGTGGTGAGTGAATATCCATCACCCTTCTGGGGTCTGTGGCAAGGACCTACCTGCAAGTTTTATTTAGTCCCACCAGAGACCTTCAGTATTTTAACTGATCATTTCCACAGTTTAAATTCCAAAGCATATTGACAAACTGAAGCAGACCTGTAGTATAATTTGAGCACTGAGCATAAATGCTGAAGGGACAGAGTAGAGAAGTGATTAAGGAAGGCTTCCAGGAGGTGAAAAGTTTCAATTAATTTTCAAATCAATGTTCATGTAATACTTTTGATTTGGGAAGGGTGGGAATGGTCAACAAGTCTAGAACCCTTGGAACCTGAATATGTGCGGAAATCCTCTCTGAAACTTACCTACCAAGTAGTCCTCATTCCCATTTATGTCTCAGTCCTCTTTTTTTTCTCTTTCACTTGGACTAAGAAGGTACTATTTTTCAAAACACTGCTTCAACCAGAAAACATTTTGGAGGAAGATGTAGTACTACTATTATACACACCAACCAACTGAAGTCCTTACTTCTGAGTATTTCACCAACGCATAATAGTTGCTAATATTTATTTTCTAAATAGTAAACAAATAACCCAAATCACCAAAGCCAACCAAGCCAGGGTGGAGGAAAAAAAGAGACATGACAGGTACTCACATCACTGCACAGATAAATGAATAAAGAGAAAAATCTGAGAGCTACAAATACATCCAATTTCCTTATTTCTGAAGTATCAGGAATTTTTACTTAAAATTAACACTACCACAAATTCTACAAGACCAAGGCTATCGTCTATAGAATTGTTGGGCTGGAAAGAACCCTGACTCCCTTGGACACACTCACCTCCAAATCATTTTTACAAGTGAAGAAATCTTAAGTTAAATTATGTTCTGTAAAAGCAGCAACCAAAATGTTAGTACTGATAGCTGTCAATAATAGAGCATTATATAAACAACAAAGGGGATCATTTTCAAAAGCAGCTTTCTTGTCAAAGGCAATTTCATTAGGCAACAATAAACATTTGGTAACTTTTTGTATCTTAACATTTATTAAAATTATGTACAATTCCTGAGACTTACATTTAATTGTAACCTCTCAACTCATAATCTCCAGCAATTCAGTGTACAGTGAACAGTGGTTTCTAAGAACAGATAAGTGGAACTTTCTTAACTGGTAGTATATATCATACCCATCCAAACGTTTGGGCAGAAGTGAAAAGATTTTTATATAGTTGAACACCATGAAACTGTCCAAATTCTTGTGTTGTACACTATTATCCCAAGCACACTACTTTTTACTGGCCAAAACAAACATCTTTTTTAATAGTGGAAGTGTTTGTTTTTTTTTAATTTTCACCTACTAATGTTTTACGGAATTTGACAAGTAAAACATGTACAGAATCTTCCTACAGGTGTAACTATATATAAATGGAGCCCAAGGGGCTCTAACTATTTAAGGTCAAAAAACTAATGAGATTCAATAGATGACCAAAAAAATCATAAAAAACCATTCCCCTAGTAAATTTTGCTACATCATGTTGATGCTTTATTTATGTCAAACTTTTAGGATAATCACTAAGTATTTAACATGTGACCAAAGCTTCTCCCATATGTCTCAAACAGCATTTTAAAAGACAGCACAGATGTAGAGGATAATAACAAAGCTGTTAAACAACTAATCCCAAGCTATAATGCTCATTTAACTGCACCTTCAAATTCAAAAATTGCCACTTAACTTAATAACCCATGGGCGCAGCAGTTTTCACTAAGTGTCAAAAACTTAATAGTGAAACCTCCCCTCATATCATCATCACCATCCTTCTCTCCTGCCTATGACTTCTTAAACTTTATTCTATGCCTTTGCAACAACTATTACTTACTCGAGGCGTACTGTGTAGAAGTTTATTACCCTATTGTTAGTCCATTCTTACTTTTTCTTCTACATTAAACAAAAGAAAAAAATTACCACAAATACCTTCTCAAAAAGTACTACGACAATTTTGATGGATATATGAATGATAAAGACATCAAGCAAATGAAAATATTAAGAAAGAGGCCAAAGGATGAAAAGGCTTAAGAAAAACTATAATGACAAACTGTTATAAAAAAAATACTCTACATAACTTTAAGATATCAGAAAACTCTAATTTTCAATTAAGTCACTGTACGTAATTAAGTAACATTTAACTTATTTAACATTTAGCAGAAGTACTTACCAACAAGATTCCTAGGAACCTGAATAAAATCCTCCACAAATTCCAAAAAACCTCTAGCCTTTTTTACAGCATCAGCACTCTGGTGGTGAGAGAGGGGAAACAAACATGAAATTCCACCTTGAAGAAACCCACAATCCACAACAAAAATAAAAACTGAATTATTACGCTCTAGTACAAGATTCTGCTCAGACCACCAGAGTGACATTTCAAGTCAAATAATTCATGAAGTATTTTTCCAAAAAAAGTCACAGTAATCATTAAACAGCTAGGAAAGAGTCTTTTACAACCAAAATATGTTAGACATCTCTAAGGTCCCTTTTAAGCTCCTGAGAAAATTAAGAGAGTTTAACTTACTTACATTAGCCAAATTTTAACCCAATCCTAAATACATCTGGCCCACACTCCTATGCTGAATTCTCCAGGTGAATGTTAAAAAAAAAATTGTTCAGTGCTTCCCTGGTGGCACAGTGGTTGAGAGTCCGCCTGCCGATGTAGGGGGCGCGGGTTTGTGTCCCGGTCCGGGAGGATCCCACATGCTGCAGAGCGGCTGGGCCTGTGAGCCATGGCCACTGGGCCTGCGCGTCTGGAGCTTGTGCTCCGCAACAGGAGAGGCCACAACAGTGAGAGGCCCACGCACCGCAAAAAAAAAAAAAAAAAATTGTTCATGTTGTCTGTACTATCTGCATTGTTTTTTCATTCTCAACGTAAGAAATGATTTAAAAGGTTTCTGCAGATGCATTTAAAAAAAAATTACCTACTGATAACATCATTAAAATTCCTAATCGCTAATGGTTATGATTTTAAAAGACCAGAAGATGGGGGCGGGGGTGTCTTCTCCAAAAGGAATTTATAGTCTAGTAACAGTTAACTTCCACTTCTAATGTTTGTCCTTTAATAACCACAGGTCAAGTATGTTGTGTGCTCCCTGTATTATACACAGCAAAAAATTTTAAACCGTATTTAATCCTCATAAACTGTAAGGTAAGCACTATTAATATTCTCATTTTACAATTCGGAAAATTACGCAGGGAAGCTGAGTAACTTTCTCCAAGCCCTCTCAAAGTGGTAGAGACAAAATTCCAATTCAGGCAGTATGGCTCCAAAGCCTTTCATCTCAATTACTTTGTTATACTGCCCACTTCTAACGGTTTCGGAAGTAAAAATCAGGCCTCTAGTAAGATTTACTATATGACTCAAATGAAAAGTCAAGACTTGAAATTATCACCCCCAAAAAACTCATTTTCTCTAATGTGAAGGATGGTCTCAATGAAGAAAAGTCTGATTTATTTTTCCAATTATTTTCCTGTCCACACACATGTCACAATTAACCAGTGACAAAATATAATTCAAGTTCTACAAAAGCTATTCTATTATATGCTATTTATAACTGCCAGTACCCAACAGTAAGCACTCAAAAAATATTTGAATTATCTGTAATGCACATAAAACAGTAAAATTCAGAAGCAGTTGATTAAGTAACTTTTGAGAAGAGTACACGTTAAACACAACCTTTAATCCACCCTAACATACATGCAACGATTGCCAGGCTGATTAATTTAAAGCGTTTCACCCTTCGGAAACTGAAATTCCAGACAATAGTTAATATGTTATAGGAAAGTTACCCAAGGTGGGGGGCAAACAGCTTACCTCGCCGTAGATTCTAAATGTTCCAGTATCTTCGTCTAGCTCAATAGCTGTAACTCCAGGAACCTTTCTAGCTTGTTGTATGTTACTACCATGTGTTCCTATTGCCAGGCCCATCAAATCTTCTCTCACAACAAATTCCTCATGAAAAGCTGCTGCAAGTTGCTTTGTGCACTAGTAAAAGAGGCAAATTATAATAAAAGATCAAAAAAAATTTTTGTACACCCATGTTCATAGTATTATTCACAACAGTCAAGAGGAGAAAGCAACCCACATGTCCACTGAATGATGAATGATAAACAAAATGTGATATGTGAGTAAAACCAGAATTATTCAGCCTTAAAAAGGAAATTCTGATACATGCTATAACATGGACAAACATTGAGGACATTATGCTTAGTGAAATAAGCCAGTCACAAAAAGACAAATACTACATGATTCCACTTACAAAAGGTATTTAGAGTACTCAAATTTATAGAAACAAAGTAAAACGGTGGTGAGCTGGGGCTAGGAGGAAGGGGAAATGGGAAGTTGTTTAATGGACACAGAGTTTCACTTTTGCAAGATGAAAAGGTTCTGAAGATTGGTTGATCAACAATGTGAATACAGTTCTCAACACTATCAACTGCACACTTAAAAATGGTTAGGATGGTAAATCTTATGTTTATTTCACTATAATTTTTTTTAAAAAAGAAAAAGAACTAAGAGAAAAAGGAATAAAGGAAATTCATTTGGGGTCATATAATGGAAGGGGAAAAAAGGTTGACCCATCTATTTAATCATGGTCACAGAAAACAGTAATTCTAAAACAATTTTCCAGAATTACTGATACAGGAAGCTCTCCAATTCAGACGATTTATGTTTCAAAACTCATTCACATATCCCTTGTTTGGAACTCTTAAATTAATAAGGGCATTCGTGTACTTATCCTAAAGATAAACGTACCCCAATTTCTCTAAGACAGCGTGTGTGCACAAGTGCGTGTGGGAGGGGGTGGGGAGAACACATCTCCTAATAGTGTGGCAGCGAAGAAGAGAACAGGAATACCTTAGGATGGAGAGAAGCAATGACAGGCTCTTTTTTAAAACTATAAGCCACGTATCCTCTCTTCTTACCCAGGAGTTGTTATAGTGAACCAGTTACTAAGGAAATGCATTGTGACTGATACAGGACAGTAAAAACCAGCAATAAAGTTCTACTGGAAATCCCTAGTGAGTTTTTAAGCTCTTTGGCACCTGTCATCCAAGTCCTAACAAATAACTCAACAGGAATTTAGCAGACAAAAGGCTATGTTTGATAAAAATAATAGAAAAAAGTAATTCTTCTAAGGACACAATGACTCCAGTTATTAGCCATAAAACAGGTCCCAAGTTGCCTTACCTAACAGTCAAGTAGTTTCAGCCATGGAACTTGAATAATATACTCATGAAACTATATGGAACACGCAAAAAACCTTTTACAAGTAAACCCACTTACTTCTAAATGCTTAGTGGCCTCTTCATTTCTGGACATAAGCATCAACTTCGTACGAATACTTCGCAAATGCATGTCACTCAAAATATTTACTCTCTTAACAGTTGCTTCACTGGCAGACTATAAACACACAAGTTAATCACTCAAAAACTTAAATCCTTTTTCAAGGTAATACAAACACAACCTTCCACATAAGGCCTTCCTTGATTTTCGTCTACTATACTTCTCTCCTCACCTAACATGCACCGCCCCTCGCCACAAGTTAATCTTACTTTGTTTTCTTAATTTCCATATTACTTAGATCTGCTCTTCAAATTATGATTGGGGGGCGCAGGTAGAATCCAGGATCCCATATATTAAGGATTTTATGATGTAAAGAATATTATATTGATTTTTCCTTACTCCAGGAGAAATTTACAAATTAACAACTTTATAACTGCAAAAAAATTTCTCCCACACTGTATTTTAATAAAGTCACTATAAAACAAGTTAGCTTTTATCTTTTGAAATATTTATAAAATCTGTACAATATTCATTATCTACCTTAAAATATGGAGTTACCTTACCAGTATCATTAGCTGTGTGGTTTCTGGATGGTAAAAAATTCTGCATGCTCCTACTGCTTTCTTAAAATCTTTATGTGCATTTTCATTAGCACACCTAGGGAGAAAGTAATTCATGGGTAAGACCTAAATAATAGGTTAAATTTAGAAGGCAATTATAATGAAAACTCAGTATTTCATTTTGACACCACCCATTAAAACTTTTGTTTGTTAAAAAGATTTTCTATCAAAGTTTTTGACTGGGCGTCTGGGGGAAAAAGTTCTTTGTAGCACTGAAAAATCCTCTTGATTCACAAATCAATTCAACAGTAAACAAAATTACTCACGCCTCTCTCAAATCCTCAGGAACATCCACTGTGCATTTAAAGAAGGTATTTTTTTTGACAGTTTTATTTTGATTGACAGGCCGAAGTCGTTCAAATGTGACTATTTCATTGTAAGTGGCATCACAAGCAGCATATTCAATGACATAAAACTAAAAGACATCAAAATATTTTTAAAATCCCATCTGAACAAAAATAATGAGCTTTAAATGAAGTTCTAATTACCTTGCTCAGCTTAACCAGTAGACCCTCCCCCTTGTGGCACAAATACTAAAGCACAGCTTAGTTACATCAATCTGATCTGCCTAAACTAGATTATACATTCTTACAAGCATGAACTATGGTGGTCCTCACACACCTGCGTTATTTATACCTCTGGAGAGCAGCTTTGGTGTTTGCAAATCCAGAACACAAATATAAATTACTGGTCTCATGACTTTTTGAAAGGCATGATTAACTATTTCTGAAGTAGGCTTTTAACAAATAAGAGTTAGAGTAACATCTACAGAACCAGGAGTGGAGGTATTTCCTTGAAAATCAGTCACAAAGCAAGTTTCAACATCACTTACTTCTCCTTTCATCATTCGAACTTTAGCCAACCACCATCCACATGGTTCTTGATCATTTGCTCTTGAATACACCTGACAAGGAAAAAAATGCCCTTATTCCTTCATCCAAAAAGATTTCAACACTATAGACAATGACTTATTATAAGCGTAAACTTCCATTAAAATCAAGAATCAAAAATTTTATTGTGAAGAATACAAAGAATAGCCCCTGCTCACTGCAACTAGAGAAAGCCCGCGCACAGCAACAAAGACCCAACACAGCCCAAAATAAATTAATTAAAAAAAAATATTGTGAGCAAAATGAAACTGGTGTACTTAACATGATTTAATAAAAGTTATATACGCTTAAATTTTACTACTGAAAAATAAAACTGAACCCTCTTTGGGCAATTTGGCTCCTTGGAAATCGAATTCCAAATTCAAGAGGGTTTACTAAACATAAGTATTATTTTTTTAAAGAGATTTATTTATTTTTATATATTTTTTTGGCTGCATTGGGTCTTCGTTGCTGCACAGGCTTTCTGTAGTTGTGGCAAGCAGGAGCTACTCTTCATTGCGGTACGCAGGCTTCTCATTGCAATGGCTTCTCTTGCTGCGGAGCATGGGCTCTAGGCGCGGAGGCTTGGTAGCTGTGGCTCGCGGGCTCTAGAGCGCAGGCTCAGTAGTTGTGGCGCACGGGCTTAGTTGCTCCGTAGCATGTGGGATCTTCCTGGGCCAGGGATGGAACCCGTGTCCCCTGCATTGGCAGGCGGATTCTTAACCACTGTGCCACCAGGGAAGTTCCAATAAATATTATTTTAAAGAAACGCTTCTTACAAGACAGTTTTACATAGTGTAAAACATAGGTCTTTCAGTTTCTGTCAACACTGTTCATCTTCGAGCATGGCATTCTGATGATTCAAGTATCAGAAGTAAGGATAAGCTAGAACCTTATTAAGATGTATTTTAAATCTGTTATCAGTATTTATAAAATGTTGAAATTAAGAACTGTTTTTAGAAAGTTTTTAAGATTTCTTCCTATTTTAAAATTCCTTCAAGGTATGACATTTAAATCCCTTGCTGAGGAACTTAAATGTACTAAAAGTCTAACAAAAAAATTATACACACATTTAGTCCATCTAGCAGAGTACATACCTTACAAAACCTCCTATGCAAAAAAAAACCCTGTATCTTACGTATTCTATAATTACCAAGTATTTTGAAATATAATACATTAGAAAAGTTTCCATTGAGAATTAGAGTTATTTCTTACGACACAGCAGTTTGTTTGATATATTTTCAATACATGAGAAAGTGGAGGGGGGGCGGATGGGAAGAGATGAATAAGAAACACTCACAAAAATCTTGATTAAACTAAGGTTGCCCCTACACAGGTGGACAGAGAAATCTACCAATCAATACATGTTAACAGCCATTTGTGAAATAATGTAAACAACTACTGATAGGCAAACAGTTTTGGAAAGCCTGAAGCTTCTATCAAGATGATAATGAGAGTAATCTTTGAAGTGGTGGAATACTGGAACTAAAAATAAATAAGCCAAAACTTCATGATCAACTTTACTGCATACCATGATTAGAGAAAAGCTGAGGGGAAAAAAAAGCCTATATACCAATGAAGCTCCAGTGAACTCAATTTTAGCTTCTGCATTTCTTATATGAGTAAATCTAACTATTTCTTGACTCTATCCTTTCTTCAGATCTTCCAAAATAAAAGAAATTTTTACCTTTTTTTTAAGAATAGAATAAAACTCATTCTGTCTTGCAATTGTTATTAAGCATCCAATGAACCCTTACATAAATCTAAGACAGAATCCAGGAACCTTATTTTTCCTACATCCTAAAATACTCTGCCATCTTCTGTGACTAGAAAGAAACAGATGACGAAGAAATGCACATTAGTCAATCCAATTGGTTAAATATGAGAGTGGTGTAATTATAGGGCAAAGATGCTAACATTCTATTCGATAAAATTAGAAGCCATCAGAAGTTCCAAAATACAATCGACCCTTGAACAACAAAGGGGTTAGGGGTATCAACCCTCCATGCAGTTGAAAGCTGAGTGTAACACAGACGGCCTTCTGTATATGCAGTTCCACATCAGCAAACTCAACCAACCACTGATCATGCAGTACTGTAGCATTTTCTATTGAAAATAATCTGAGTGGGAATTCCCTGGTGGTCCAGTGGTCAAGACTCTACACTTTCACTGCTGAGGGCCCAGGTTCACTCTCTGGTCAGGGAACTAAGACTTCCACAAGCCGCACGGGGGGGATCCGAGTATACATGGACCCATGCAGTTCAAACCCATGTTGTTCAAGAGTCAACTGTATTCTTAAACCACTGCATTCTGATAATTCAAGCGTGTAAGATGAAACAGAAGAAATGATAAACTAGAACATACCAGAGATGGACTTTATGATATCAGCATTTACAAGATGGGTATGTTCTGGGTTTATCCATGATAGCTGATGAGCAATAAGTTAATATTCAGAAAACTTTGCTCATTTTAGGTACATGTATCGTCAAAAACCAGGAAAACATGAATAAAAACTTGGATTTCTTTGTTTAAATGCTTATTAAAATATCTAATAATGTTTATCTTCACCATCCTTTTATTCTTTCTTCTGTAAATTTACATGTAAAATGACTTAAAAATAGAAAAAATAATAAAAATGGCCCATTAGACTCAAATGGTAAGTGCTGACTATTTTCCCTAGTATACTGAGAATTAAAAAAAACAAAAAGAAAACCCTGAGAACAAGAAGGAAAGTGCCCTTTCCAAGCACTATCTTAGAAAGGCAGTTCAGCTAAACAGACTGGTGTATCTCTTGTTGATCTACAGTGGATGGGTGCCTCAAGCTTGAATGCTGAAAAATGCGTCTTAAAATAAACTACCTGTTCTGTTTCACCAAAGAATAACCGTCTAGGAATCTGGCTTTCTATGTAAGTTTACCTACAAAAAAGAATAAAACATTGTGGACTGTCTTGCAGCTTTAGTTCTCACTGAACATTAAAATGCTGGATTCCATTTTATACTTACATCCATCTCTGTAAACTTCATTAATAACTGATCCCTGAAAAACAAAGCCTCTCTCATAAAGCCAAATTAATCTAAGTTCCTGGCTCAAATCAAAATGCTATGAATTTGCCTCCACTTTTGTGTTGTGGGTCAAATAACATCCTTTACAAAATGAACAGTGTACTCAACACAATAAAAAGTTGTTTTAATAACCAAGTGTTAAAACCGCGCCCTAGCATACTATGTCCGAGATGCAGATTACTGAATTTATTTATGACTACATCATTGGAGTAAAAGCACCTCACAGAAATTCCCTTACTTCAGATTTCAATTCACTTAAATCCCCAAACTATTCCAAGAAAGCAATTCACACTCTAAGGCAATGGCCCTCATTTCTCTAACATTCTAAGTTTCTTCAAATCCAAGAAAGAGCTTTAAAAAAAGACTAAGGAGTGCCCATGAGAGACCTAAAAACACAACAGTACCCAGATTGAAGAAGGCTACAGTTTCATGGAAGAATTAAATTCCAAAAGCCTATTTCAGTATTCTTTCTACCAAATGAATCCTAGTCAAACCTTACTGGCCTCCAAATTCCAGCACACAACCAAATTATGACTTAAATGGAATTCCAGTCTGGATCCTAATGTTATCAGCTTTTCATTCAAGTTAATAATGTTCAACGATGCCTTTCAAAGTTATAACCAAATAGAAATAATGTGAACACCACCAGTAGACAATTTCTACCAGTTTTTACCTAATTCTAAATAATGTTAAGCATTAAACTGAATGCTTAATCATAATGACCTGTTTTACAACTACATGAAAGACATTTATTGAGTACTATTCATATCTATTTTATCTCATTACAATCTATGAAGAAATAGAAAATGTACATTAGGAAAGCAAGCTTAACATCTAGAAAACACTAATGTGATTTATCTACTTACACAACAGTTATTATCTCATTAGTATTTGTGGCTGATACTTTAACAAATGGGTTTCATAAGTCTTGGAAACTGCCCATTCCCCAAAAGAAAAAGATAAAAGTAATAAAGAATATGTTCACCTATTCTTTAACGTATGAGCATTCCCAAGCACTAAGACTAACAATGCTGACTTCATATTATGAGAAAGACTAACTACAGACAGCTAAAATTTTCAGACTGGTTGCAAGAATCAAACTGATACATTTTTAAAGGTAAGATGTAAATTATACATGTATATTGTATTTGTCTTATAAGTAAAATACGAAATTAAAAAACTGTACGGTAAGGGGGCTTCCCTGGCAGTCCAGTGGTTTAAGACCCTGTGCTTCCACTGCAGGGGGACTCGGGTTTGATCCCCTGGTCAGGGAACTAAGATCCTGCATGCCATGCGGCATGGCCAAATTAAAAAAAGAAATTGTAAGGTAAGGGAGTGTTCTACATCAAATTATTCTTAATCCCTTTATTAAATTTCTCTCAAGGGACCTATCCCAAGATTATAACTAAATTATAAAGATGTAGAACCATAATGTCTGACTATCTGCCATAAAAGATGGAAGGCGTATGTCACAAGAACAAAAACTTGCCTATCCGTATTTCAACCAGAAGACTTCACAATTCAAAAAAAAAGTTTTTATATATCAAATATGTTAAGCCCAAGAGGAAAAACTTAAAAAGTCTTATAAAATTACCTATTAGCTTGAGATGTCAGGCTTCCTATGTAACACGTTTGTGTGTGTTACTAACTTGCTGAATAAGGTAGGCATCTTATAATAAAAAATAAGGCACCTCACATGTGAAATCACTGGGGAAAAACTCTTTCTACTGCCCTTCCAATATCCCAGAACATTATACTATATATCCAGCTTAAGAGAATCTAAAGAACTCTTCATTTTCCCATCATCTCCAACTTTACAAGCTGAGAATTATTTTCTTAGCAATCTTTTTTTTTTGGCCATGCCACGCAGCTAGCCTGTGGGATCTTATTTCCCTGACCAGAGATCGAACCCAGGCCCTCAGCAGTGAAAGCACAGAGTCTTAACCACTGGACCACCAGGGAATTACCAATTTTCTTAGCAATCTTTAGTTAACAAAATCAACTATTAAGCAGACACTTATCAAAAAAAATTAATTATATTAAATACTTTAAAGATTTGAAAATATATGCCAGTTTTTATCAACACAAAGCCACCAATTAGGTTTAAAAATAAACCTTTGAATCTTAGACTTTTCAAAACCAACTTTCTATTATAAGCCATATAGTGTCTTCTTGAGGCCACTACCAGACACTAATTTATGTTTTATAATTTCATCTAAGTCTCATAAATTGGCTGGAAAGGGCAAGCCTGATGTAGCCAAACATGTTTGTAAAGTAATAAAATTTTAGAGTAAGCCATGTGAAATCGCCAATATTTAACCATACCTGACCTACAAGAATGGAAAGTTCATATGGCTGAATTTTTTAATTATTATTATTTTTTAATAGAAGCATAGTTGACTTACAATATTGTGTTAGTTTCAGGTATACAGCAAAGTGATGCAGTTTTGTATATATATATGTGTATATCTGTGTGTGTGTGTATATATACATATATATATGTGTATATGTTCTTTTTCAGATTCTTTTCCATTATAGGCTATTACAAAATATTGAATATAGTTCTCTGCACTATACAGTAAGTCCTTGTTTATTTTATATATAGTAGTGTGTATCTGTTAATCCCCAATTCCTAATTTATCCCCCGCCCCTTCCCCTTTGGTAACCCAACTTTGTTTTGTATGTCTGTGAGTCTGTTTAGTAAATAAGTTCACTTATGTCATATTTTAGATTCCACATATAAGTGAGATCATATGGGGACTTCCTGGCGGTCCAGTGGTTAAGACTCCACATTTCCAATTCAGAGGGCATGGGTTCAATCCCTGGTCGGGGAACTAAGATCCCACATGCCACCTGGCGCAGCCAAAATATTAAAAAAATAAAAATTAAAAAAAATAAGTCATATCATAAAACATTTGTCTTTGGCTTACTTCACTCAGTATGATTATCTCTAGCTCCATCCATGTTGCTGCAAATAGCATTCTTTCATTCTTTTTTATGGCTGAGTAATATCCCATTGTGTATGTATATATACGTGTGTGTGTGTGTGTGTGTGTGTGTGTGTGTGTGTACACACACCATATCTTCTTTATCTACTCATCTGCCAATGGACATTTAGGTTGCTTCCACGTCTTGGCTATTGTAAATAGTGATGCTGTGAACACTGGGGTGCCTATATCTTTTCAAATCAGTTTTCTCCAGATATATGCCCAGGAATGGGATTGTTGGATCATATGGTAATTCTATTTGTAGTTTTTAAAGGAGCCTCTATACTGTTTTCCATAGTGGCTGCACCAATTTACATTCCCACCAACAGTGTAGGAGGGTTCCTTTTCTCCACACCCCCTCTAGCATTTATTATTTGTAGACTTTTTGATAATGGCCATTCTGACTGGTGTGAGGTGATATCTCATTGTAGTTTTGATTTGCATTTCTCTAATAATTAGCCATGTTGAACATCTGTACGTTGGCCATCTGTATGTCTTCTGGAAAAATGTCTATTTAGGTCTTCTGTTGTATGGCTGAATTTTAGATAAATGCCTGGACAGCTTAATGAAAAGCTCCATTCTGGATCATTTCTGTTCTAAATCAATTACTAACGGCCAAATCATAGTCACCTTTCCATTCTTCAAAGAGGAAGGGTTCCTAGAGCTGCAAAAGAACAAGAGTTGGGAATGTGGCACAAAATTGACAACACCCTGTAATACAGCATGACATATTAGAAAGAATAACATTCAGGACAAAAACTTACACTGGTTATTCAACTTCCTAACCTTCAGGCTACATGAACCTTGGAAAGGTTAATTAAAGTATTCATAGAGTTTAGAAGAGGCCCTCAAGAGACTATTATGTCAAACTGATAGAACGTGTTTAAAAAGCCAGTTAGTTATATATATATATTATATGGGTTAGTGTCAGCTGTTATCACTGCTATTATAGTATTTACGACTAGCACAAAAAGAACAGTAGCCAATGACTTAATTAAAAAGAAAAATCAATATACTATGCAATAAATTACCCTAAAAAGAATCAAGTTATATTAAAAACCTAAATACTCTTTAAAAAAGGGGGGGGGGCATCTCTGTAGAAGTACTAAAATGGGTTATCTTGGAGGCCACACCAGGAAAACTGGCAGATCTGAATCTGGGAAAATTGGCAGATCTGAATAAGTAAAAATATAAATTCTTAATGGCAAAAGCCACTAAAGCACAGCTTTTTAAAGAATGCCCGGGAGAAAACACAATATATAACAGGAACTTACCCATAAAATGTACACATTTCCAACATCGAAAACTACACGGGCAAAAAATAAAATAGATAATAAACAGAACAAGGGGCTAACAGCCAATAAACTAATTTAAAAGACACTCCATATCACTAGTAATCAAGGTTCAGAAAACAGAGAAGACAACAGCTTCCTTCTATCATGTTTATGAAAACTTACAGATGAGATTAATAATAATCCAGCCAGTCAATCTATGAGGAAACAAACTCCTTAATGTACTAGCAAAACTATGAAGTGGTCATTCAAAAAGCACTTTTGGAGGACAAAATGGTATATTCTGCTATTATCAAAATTTTCAATATACATGCCTTTGATTCAGCAATTGAACCACCAAGATTTATACTAACAGAAAATGCTTTATATAAGGACATTAACTCTTGCTTTTTTTGGGGGGGGATGGTAAAAGCAAAAAACAACTTTCAATGATTTCAACAACTTCTAATTATGATACACCTATACGGAGAAGTATCATGGGGTGGTGAGAAAAAATGAGGTTAAATCTGTATGTGCAGACTTGAAAATGTCTATGGTATCTTAATTAACTGACTACAAAAATCACAAATAAAATGTATTCCCAATTTTTGTAACTTAAAAAAAGCACACATATTCTTTATAAATTCAAAGAAAAGAATCTAAAGAGACATCTCTTAAATGAGATTTAAGCTGGGGTGGGCAGATAAGCACACCTACATACCTACACTAAGAGGAAAGGTTCACTTTTTACTTTATGTAACTCTGTATCATTTCACTTTTTATATTAAGCTTTGTTACTTTGAATTTGGGAGGTAGGGAGCTTACATAAAGTTATTTGGCTCAAAATATAAAGCACTAACAACCATAATTCCTAAGCATTCATTCCATGGCATAAGAATAAATTCCTAACGCTGGCAAAAAAGCAAAACAAAAAAAGAAATCCACAGGTGGCAAGATTAATTTTAAACTTCTTCCCTATATAAATTTTCAAAAATTCCAAAAGCACAAAAAAATTACAAAGTAACAGTAATATCTTAATTCCAGACCATGATTCTCATTAATTTTAAGGAACAAATTTCACCAAGGCTGAATCATAAAACAGAAAGTGAAATAAAACACTCTGTAATCATCAATTTCCAAATCATTCAATAAAGTTTTGTATACAATTGGGGAGGCGAGCCATAAAGATGGTCCAGGAACTGGACAGGATCTTCCCAGATTGAGACTGAGGAAAGCACACTGTAACAACACCCTCAGCACTCCAAGTTTTTCCTTTAAACTGAGCCTTTACATTAACAATAACTGTCTGAACAACAATTTTTAAAATATGAAAAGCACTACTCAGAAATGATCGCCACACATGTGGCACCCTGACACAATTAAGCTTATAACATGCTTTGATTTAGCAAAAGCAGAAGGATGCTTGCTCTAATTACCTAGAGCAAGAATTAAAATCTAGGCAAAATTTTAGAAAGTGAGTTCAAGTTGTTAGGGGTTAAAGTCCTACAATTTGACTTTCTAGCCTAACATCTACAATTAACTCAAAAGAAAATTTACCATTAAAAAAATTATGAAGAATAAAAATGGCAAGTAACTAAATGAGTTCATGTGCAAAGCACTCAGAACAGTGTATGGCACAAAGTACATACTGTTAAGTGTTTCTAGATAGCTGTTTCATCACTAAAGATTGACCCATGTTCCCAGTTCTCCTACCCCAGCCTACATAAATTAGGTACAAATGAGATTTGAAAATCTCTTTCAACACTATCAAGACAACTCCTTGTGAGAAATACATTTTAGCATATTTGAGCTCCTTGGAGGTATCAATTTCTTAAAAATCGAAAATCAAATTTTCTATCTCCAACAAACTCATTATGCTTCTATTTGACAATTTCCAAGTTTCTTTTTACATAACAGCAGGCATGTTAATCAAAAATAAATATAAGACAGACATTCAAGACCTACTAAGTGTGAAAAAAGCAAGATACAAAGAAGCAGTAAAATTTTTATTTTTTTAAAAGAGAAAACAGGAAGAGCCTGAGAATATGTAAACCATGAAATGTGGTTTTTATCTCTGGGCAGTGATTTTGGTTTTTTCCTTTTAAATTTTTCTGAATATTTCTAGAATATTCAAAAAGGCAGTATGCTAATTATAATATTTCATATTGTTACACAGGAACTATATTAATGATCACTACAATAAAGGATAGCTACTAATACTGTACAAAGATACTGAGGAAAAAGCACAAGGCAAAACAGCAAAAAAAAAAAAAAAAAAAAAGGAAAATAATGACCAACGTCATATAGTTGTCTCTGCCAGAATCTGTGCAAAACTCAAATGCACTATCGTCTTTAGTTCTCAAATTATTTTCACTTTAGGCATTAAAAACAAAAAAACTTGACCAAGGCTACAAACCTAAAAATGGTAGCATTGAGACATTAATCCCAGTTCTGGCTCCAAAACTCAAGCATTGCTACATTACACAGCCATTACCAATAGAAAGAATGGAGAAAAGGAATTAGATTTATTCTCTAACAGCTAAACAGATTTTCCAACAAGAATATTTATTTGAAACAAAAAAATATGCACACAAGAAAATAAACTTGTAAATACATACCTCTACTTCATCTCCTTCACTAATTTCTTTTTTTATATCAGGTGGTGGTGGTAATCTAACTTCATTAAATGGAACCTGGCGTTCCGGTTGCCAACTGAAGGATTAGAAAAGGAATTAACAATTTTAAAATACATTATTCTAATAGCCCCTAATACAGAAGCTATGTAGTCTATGCTTAGTACTGTATATTTTTCAAATCAATCATTTAGCTGTCCCCAAAGAAAAACAACCTCTGTATTAAATCTTTTTCCAAGTAGTTTGCTGAGGTAGAACAGATTTTGCATGGCTCTTGGTGAAGTTTATAAATAGTTAACATCATTGACAATTATATATTGCTTCCAAATTACTCATCCTAAGGTAACAGTACATACATTATTCTGCAGATGAAGTAGGGTAAGTTCAGAGTAACGAACTGCTATAGTGGGATCAACTTATTACAAACACTTTTGCCACTCAATGATTTATTAAGCAACACAATTTCAGAGATTATAAAATATAAGCTGCATAATTTCTTAGTGTACATGTTCACAGAAATATAGAAAACTACTCAATTATTCTGAATAGCTAAATTATGAAAGGATTTAATTTTCTTACACAGATAGAATTTCTTTTCTACAATGAACACATACATTGTAATTAAAACCTAGAAAAAACTTACTTTTAATCTTTGTAGCAAATACGAATGTGTTAAAACTACTACTTGAGCTGCTGCTTAATTTTTTGTGGGTTGTATTTTATAACTAAGTTGATAAAGCTAAAATGCTTTCCTACTTTAAGTTCTAATAGGTCATTCACATGCCTGGGAGGTAGAGCAGCACGTAAAATACTCCTATGGCTCCCCTGTGCCAACGCTGGGCAAAAAAAGAGACAAGTAAGACATTTGAGTGCTTTCTTTCATCTTTACTGTCTAAATGGCAGCTGCTAAAAGACAGAAATCATCTCAACACTTGTTTCTACAAGAAACAGCTGTTGGGCCGATATCTATTCAGGCAGTTACAGAAGCAGCATAAAAGTGAAAGTTAACCAGTTTTCTTTTCTGACCTTCAATTATACAGTGCTCCTTTATAACCCTTCCTAACCAAGCCCAGAACACAGTCTTTAACGTTTTTAGCACAACTTACCTAACCTTTACAATATCTATACAACTTTTTATTATTCCTTATGAATAATCAAGCAATTAAAGACAGCCTAATACTTATCTACAGCATAATTTCAAAATTCTGCGTTTTTAAGAAGCATATTATAATCCCATTCGTGCCGTCTATTTTTGCAAAAACTACTTACCGATTCACGTCCACATGTGATTTGACAAAGAATGGGGTCATGGAAGAAGTGCCAAGTGAATTGTGAGCAGAAAACCAGGTGAAGTCACCAAAAACTAAAATTATTTGAACTCAAAAAGATAATCAAACCAAAGACCCCCACCCAAAAGCACACTCATTTTCCACTGGCAATAGAAACAGCCAAAAGCAAACAGTTTGGCACTACCCATCTTCAAAATTAGGATCTCTATCAATAAAAAAATAACTTACTTGTTCTCAAAAACAACTGTGAGAGAGTCTTCATGAACATCTTTGATAAATCCCTATAAAGAAATTAAAAGGAAATAAATATTCAATTAAATGTTACATTAACTCTAAACCACTATATTAGAGCTACAAAAACGACATGGAGTACTAATAATAACCCAGAGCTTGGAATAGGCTAATCTGGGTTTGATTTCCATCTCCATCATTCATGAGCTGTTTGACCTTGGCAGTTACTTAACCTCTCTTTCATGATTACAAATGACATTAAATAACACTGTACTACTGTCAATCAGAAGAGCAATGTTCTCAACCTTAGCCAAATGCTTACACACTCTGAACCACTTGGTACTCAGCAAAAACTTTTCTGAAACGTCTTTATCATACTACACTCCATAATGTACACTATAAACTAATTAAATACACACACTTGCAGTACTTGGTTAAAACATGGCAAAAATGAGTACATCTGTTTACCTCATCTACCTCCCAAAATATTTAAACACTATGTGTCAGATATTATTTTAAGCAAATTAGCAAACCAAAGACTAAGAAACAAACTGATGGTGGAAAAACCAAAAAGCAAACAGATCAGCACTGCCACCCCAGAAAATCTTTGGAACTGAATACAGAAAGTCTTATAGAGGAAAAGGTAACCGATGAAGCTGAAAATAAAATCATTTTATTTTCAATCACCAATCACAGAATGTGTATAAGTCATGTATCTAGTCTCTCAGTACCCTCCTCCCACATTTGCTACTAAATTTTATGATTCTGTAATTTGGCCTTGATCTCTCTCCAGCTAGAAATGCCTGTGATCAACTTGTGTATTATGGGAAATTTCAATGCATATATCTTCATGTGAGGTCTAAAACTCAAGATACTTTCAAGAATGCTATAGTTGGGGTTTCCCTGGTGGTGCAGCGGTTAAGAATCCACCTGCCTGCCAATGCAGGGGACGTGGGTTCGATTCCTGGTCTGGCAAGATCCCACATGCCAGAACAGCTAAGCCTGTGCACCACAACTACTGAGCCCGTGTGCCTAGAGTCTGTGCTCCACAACAAGAGAAGCCACCGCAATGAGAAGCCTGTGCACCGCAAGGAAGAGCAGCCCCCGCTCACCTCAACTAGAGGAAAGCCCGTGTGCAGCAACGAAGACCCAAAGCAGCCGAAAATAAACTTATAAAAGAAATATAGTGGCTGCCAGAAAATTTAAAGTAGCTCTTGCCTTGCAATTCTGAAGACATTTTTTGTTCTTCTTTCTCCTCCCAAAGCTAAAAACTAAGAGCTGCCATCTAGTTCAAGTTGTGATTATCTGATCACGCTACAACAATGACTTCCTGGCCAGTTTCTCTATTTCTACTAGTTCATCCACACATCTACTTTCAGCAATCATTTTGGTCAGCACTTTCATAGTTATGTTACCAGCAAATCCATCTCTATTATACCCTTGCCATTTGTAAGGACTATTTTCATAACCTGAGAATTACCAAATTCATGAATATCAGAGTAAAACATCTTTCCATCATAGATTAGTCATATTTATACTTTCACTAACATTTTCTAGTCCTTCACAAACAATTTTCATAGTTTGAAATGTTTCATTAATCTTTATCATTTCTGTATAATTTATACAGCGTAAGCGCAAATGAGAGCTCCAAATCACTGGGAAATTCTACTCCTCGTTATAATAAAAAGGTTTTCTCCTATCTAAAAATCAGTGCTTATACTGCTCCCCACCCCCACTTTACATCCACCACAAACATCAGCATCATCTTTGTCTGGGTGCACACACTGTTCACACACTTTAAGAAAAAATACAGCTCTGGAACCTACTCTTATTGCTAATATCTTTCAGGCATCAGATTAAACAAGCTAAAAACTTGACACCCAAATAAAGTATATTTGGACTGTAGTGAATAATCAGAAAACATGTTCTAATCCCCAAACCCTAGATTCTAGGGATAAGGGGTTTCTAATGGCCAGATCGCTATAAAATTGATGCATTTGATACAGGACACAGTCAACACTTTTCAATTCACCAGAATAATGGCAGGTCCCTATATACTCAAGAGATGGAAAACGGCAGGGTTATGTCTTTGCCAAAATGTTTTAAGAGTCAGGAGACACCAAATAACAATGGCAACATCTTCCTGAACATGGTGTGGGTGGAGGGGGGGGGGGGGGGGTGGCTTTATGACTAAGTCTCCGTAACTTCTGTCCTTCTTGTTAGTCCAACCTTTGGGGATTTGGTCTCTTTTCCTATTCATACTCATCTGGTCCAGAACCCGTATTTCTTAGAAGACTATGACATTTCTTTTTCTTCTCCCCATACAGCTACAAACATGGAAGCCCAAGCCATCATAAAATGGTCCCTTAATTTGTTCATTCACAAAGCCTGGTATATGTTTACACTTGAAACTCTTAACTATAATTTAAAATTATAGATAAGTAACAAGGCACTTTAACATATTTAAAGTGTAATCAAAATAGAATGCTATCCCTGACAAAATAACAAACAGCATCATACAATAAAAACCCAGGAATGCCAAAAATGATGTGTAAATTAGGAGTAAGGGAGGAACAGAGGGAATAGCAGGAATCTCTGAGCCCTGGAAGCACTAACTGAAGAATTTTTTTTTTTCAAAACCAATCTAGCCTAAAATAAAAATGTAAAAAGAAAACCCAAAGATTCAGTAAGGTGGCAAGTTAACCAAATTAGCTTTTCTAGCTAAAAATAAGCACTGGAAAATAAAACAGACAAAAAAATATTCTACTAACAGCAAGGTCCTAGAAATGCCCTCAACAACAAAAAAATGTACACGACCTATGTGCAGACATCTGTGAAACTTGACTAATGAATAGAAATAGACTATTTAGGGAAACGTAAAGCACTCTTGATATTTTAAAATTTTCAACATGCCCCTAAATGGGATCCTACTAAAACACAAAGGAATGTGTAATTCTGTTGAGGGAACAGGAGTTAACCTTAATAAAATTACATCAAAGCCTATCTTAAAAACAAACAAGAAGGCATTCAGTAAGGCAACTTTTAAATGGGGGTAGAGAATAATGAGAAAACATTATCCGTACCAAACACTGAAAGTTATTTTAAAGCTACAATAATCAAGACAAAAAAGACAAGGTGCTTGGCAATTTTGAGGTGGGAGCTTCAATGGCCTGTGGAAAGAACAAGGTGCATTCCAGATATCTGCCTAACTTAAACACACATTTTTGAAGTTACAGAACACTACAGCTGAAAAGCATGTTTTTCAACTCGATGAGGGTAGTCACAGGGAGAAAAAATCCTATTGATAAGCAGTAATACACATGGTATGAATGAACTTCAAGAATTGAAAGAATGAGATTATAAATACATTCAAAAGTCAGAACAGATGGCTGTGGGAAAACCACTCCAAAGAGAAACATTATTTCTTCTACAGACCTTCCAGATCCCTCATTTTAGAGAAAGAGAAGCTGAAACTATACACATCTATTATAGCCTCAAAGTTTTACTCCCTAAGAGGTTGTAAACACTGAATTTAAAACCTCATCTTCTGGGAGTTTCCTGGTAGTCCAGTGGTTAAGAATCGGTCTTTGCTATGCAGGGGATGATGGTTCAATCCCTGGTCTGGGAACTAAAATCCCACATGCCTCGGGGCAACTAAGCCCACAACAGGCAACTACTGAGCACCACAACTAGAGAGAAGCCCAGGGACCACAACGAAGACCCGACACAGCCAAAAAATAAATGAATGTATGTTTTAAAAAAATAAATAAAACCTCATCTTCTGTCTGGAACTCTTTTCAATTAAATCATTATCAATTAAATAACAAAATGCTTTTGCTAATTCACAGTTTTAAACTCTAAAAGGTTACGTCTGGCAGCAACACTATTATGAAGAAAATATGGCACCATTCCTAAAAAGCCTATTTAAGGCAAAGTCCCAGAACAAAATATCAAAATCTAATTTACAACTGGAAAGGCAGCTACCTTGTTTAATATACTAATCAATTTATCAGAGGCTTTGCTTAAGTGATGGCTGAGCAATCTACAGAGATCCATGAATCCCTTTGAGAACATTCCCACTAAACTCATTAGGAACATATCATCCTAGTCTAAAAAAAATTCCTTTGAAAAGTATCATTTCAAATTCATCTGCTACTTCAGATTTTTCAAAAATCCACTAATGACCTCCCATTATTACAATTCATTACAACACTAAATTCACATATCTTACAAAGGGGGAAGTAGAAACTTAAAAAAACTTAATACTGGGACTTCCCTGGTGGGGCAGTGGTTAAGAATCCGCCTGCCAATGCAGGGGACGTGGGTTCGAGCCCTGGTCTGGGAAGATCCCACATGCCGCGGAGCAACTAAGCCCATGAGCCGCAACTATTGAGCCCGCACGCCGCAACTAATGAAGTCCATGTGCCTAGAGCCTGTGCTCCACAACAAGAGAAGCCACCGCAATGAGAGGCCCGCACACCTCAACGAAGAGCAGCCCCTGCTCGCCGCAACTAGAGAAAGCCTGTGCACAGCAATGAAGACCGAACACAGCCAAAAATAAATAAATTTATATAAAAAAAAAACTTAATACTCAGCAAACTACTACCAGAAGTCAGACAGCCTGAATCCTCAAAATGAGGTTTAAAGTGGAAGCCCATACCCAAAAACCCAACACTTACACCCTAAAGCTGTAACTCTTAAACCTCAAAATTCTTGTTAGAAGAGTTCACTGATTGCCAATAGACTGAGCAAAAAAGGCCAGCAAGACACAGAACAAGCTTCCTAAATGGAGGCTATGTTTTCAATGACTCTATCTCAAGGGGTAAAAGCAAGGATTCATCAGGAATCAAACCTCTAGTTCACATTTATTCTCCTAAGCAAGCAAAAAGTTCTCACAGTCACATTACTGCCTCCTTCAAACCTGATCAAGTATTCTTATATAATTTAAGATCTACTCCAGTTTTTCTCTTTAAAGTCTTTCTCAGGATCACTGGTATGACATTTAAAAATTTTATATTTATTTGGCACAACAGTCAAATTTTAGTTCCCT